GTGTGATTCTCTGCACTGCGGATTGTATCCTTGAAATTCTTCTTTTTTTGCCTATGCTTATCAGAGTATTATGTGCTTCACTGTTTACAGTACTATGTACTACATGTTTTTTTTATTGATGAATAAATCTTTTTTGGTACAAAAAAAAAACCCAAAAACATTCTATGAGGAGGTGATCTGTATAGGAGAAGGCCTGTGGACACGGTGTATCCACATTTTACTACAGCATTTGATACGGTACCCCCCTAAACTCTTCATTTACAAACTGAAGTCTTTTGCATTGACGATAGTGTGTGTACCTGGGTATAGCAGCATGTATTCACAATGGTCTGTAGTGGTAAGTGGGGCACCCCAAGGCTCTCTCCTGGGACCAATTCTGTTTCCCTTATTCATAAATGATAGAGAGGTTGGTATAAATAGCTCCATTTCAGTGCTTGCTGATGACACATATCTAAGCAGGGTAATGACATCACAACAGGAGATAACAATTTTACAACCTCAATAAGATAAAGGGGTGCGGAACTACATGGTAAATAAGGTTTAATATCGAAAAATGTAAAGTAATGCCCTTGGGGGCTAAAAACATGAATGCAAGTTAGCAGAAAAGAGCAAAACAGGGCGCACTCTCCTCCTGCATTACCGTAATAATGTGAAATTTATTAACAAAAGCAAAAACATACTCACAAGCCAAAAAGGTCATAAAAACTGAGACAAGAAGTCAAAGGATGCCAGTCGTGGACAGCATAAGTCCTCGGGTAAAATGCTAACACGTTTCAGGAGTTAAACCCCCTTTCTCAGAGCAAAGATAATAAAATAAATCTACCACTTTACTCTGGATCAGTCACATCTTGAGTGTGACGTCCAGATCTGGTCACTAGTCCTCAGGAGGGATGTGCTGAAATTGGAGAGAGCCCAGAGAAGGGCAACAAAACTATTAAGGGTGCTGGATGAGGACATATGATCGCAATATCCAAATATCCAAATGGTGATTCATAGGGGGTAAGCTATTCAATCTTAGGTCTGTCAAGAAGACACACGACTTGCGTAAGAGATTCTTTACTGTTAGAGTGGGAAGGATGTGGAATTCACCTCCACAGTTGGTGGTGTCAGTGGGGAGTGTTGATCATTTCAAAAAACATTTGGATGGGTATCTAAGTGAGTGTAATATACAGGGATATGGGAAATGGTAGTGACATAAACACATACACAGAGGTTGAACTGGATGGACTGGTGTCTTTATTTACCTTGCCAACTACTGTATGTAACACTACTGTGTAAACACGTTCATGGATGTCTTCTGTCTTTTATGCCAAATGGGTCTCCTATCAGTGAATATACGGAGAACTCTTTGGTTAAAATGTTTGTCTGTGGAGCAGGTATGTAAAAAACATGTTCTGTGCATTCCCTTTGAGGCTAGCATTTCTTTGGACCTGCGTTGGACATCATCAAGGATATCACTGGGGGTGAGAGTATCCATCTACCCCAGAAAAAGCCTAGGCCTCAAGCTGGGAAAAATTGCCCACCACCAAGGTCAAGAATAGTTTCATTCACTACTGCCAAGTTTCAACCTCTGAGACCAAACCCAAGTCAGGAGTACAGTCCATTAACAAACCCTGGGTCTCTAAGTCTCCAAACCTTTTCGTCAGCATAAATAGATGCTACCACATTCCATAGTGGGGGGGGGGGGGGGGGTTGTGGATATCTGGAAAGACAGCATTTCAGATGTAAGGGGTAGGTGGTTTCCAAGAGCTACAAATGTGTTCTGCTCTCTGTCCCCTCCTATGTCTTCCAACCTTCCTGTGTCACCTCAATGCTTAGCAGACCTACATGCAGCCTTTGCAGGTCTTCAAGATAAGGGGGGTTTCCAAAAGGTGGCATTCATCCCATCTCATATCTGAAGCCTCTAGATGGCTTCATTCAGGCCCAAAAAACTCTTCATGGAATCCACTAGGACAGGCCACGGCCTGTCTTCAACAGGTAGATGTTTTGGCTGTTGTTGAGAACCAGATTCTCTCTGAGCTGGTAGCTCACAAATCCAGTTCTGAAGCTGGGGCATTCTTCCTTCTGATCTCTTGGAGGATCTTAACAATGGTTGCTAACCTGACAGGCTGAGGTGGAGCCCAAGACCCTTTGTTGTTGCAGGGGACTTGAATGCTGGAGGAATCCCATCTCCCAATAAACATTTTGGAATTCTGGGACATTTGATTGTCTCTACAGTGCTGTACATCTTGAATGGTCACCTGATCAGGACCAATGCCACAGCAGTGATGTACACAGATTATCAGGGAGGAAACAGAAGTCTTGCCGCTGCAAGAGAGGTAGAAAAGATTCTATCCTGGGCATAACTGCAGGCACCAACCAGTCATTTACATTCCAAGCATGGACATGTGGCAGGTGGACTTTCTCAGCCAGGAGTACTAGGATCTGCAGTAGTGGACCATACAACTGGAATTGTTCTAGGACCTGTGTCACAGGTGGGGAATGCTGGATATGGACCTCCTGCCTCAAGGTTCATCAACAAACTGTACATGTTTATCTTCATGTGAGGGGATCCACTGACGGAAGCAGTGGATGCTCTGGTAGCTTCATGGGATCAGTACAGCCTGTTCTACACTTTACCTTCCATGAAACACATTTCTGCTTCACAGGATTGAAACAGAGGGCATTATGGTGATCTTTTTAGCTCTTGGACTGGCCAAGATGGATGTGGTACTCTTACCTGATCAGACTCCTGGTAGATGCTTTGTGGGCCCTTGTCAGGATCTTCTATTCCAAGGACTGCTTTATCATCCTGCTTCACATTACAGTTGCTGGCTTTAATGGCATGACTAATAAAGTCCAGGTTTTGAGAAATAGAAAGTAGAAAAATAGAGGATGCTTAGTGATTCCTATAATGCTAAAAGCTAGGAAGACCGCTTCCCAATAGGTCTACCATTGCACATGGAAGATTTGCTCGTGACAAGGAAACAAAACCTCATCCCAGAAAATATTCTGTGGGGCATATCCTAACCTTATCACAATTAGATGTGGGCCAGAAATTGGTTCGGGTCAAATCCCTCAGGAACAAATACAAATCTTGGTGTTTGCAATCTTGTTCCAGAGACTGATAGCTTCCCTTTCTTTGATCAAGAATATTGTACAGGATGTTTCTAATGCGGCACCCCCAATACATCCACCAATTTCTCAACTTCAAAAGACACCCTTTGAACCTATTAAGAATATTCAATTTTTGACTCTTACTCACAAGGTTGCTTTCCTTCTTGCGAGGTAGCTTGTCTAAACCGGTGGTCTTGTCTTTTGAAAAAATGATTCTGGTCCTACATAAAGTAATGGAAGTGTTGGGGCCTAGACCCTTTTTCTTTCCTAAGGTGGTCTTAAGGTTAGGGTTCCACCCTTTCATTTTAAGGCACACTTGGGCTTTTTGGCTGCAGGCAGCTGTTCACCAGATTTGTAAGACTGCCATCTGATCTGCTTTTCACATGTTCTTTAAGTTCTACCAGGTAGATGTTTAGGCCTTAGCTGATGCAAGCTGTGGATGAAGAGTCCATCAGGCAGATCCTTGAGCTCCAAGCAGGTCCTCCTCTTGTTTAGTGGGCCTGTTAGCATTTGGTTTGCTGTGTTGTCCACTCCTCATTTGGACTGCTTTTGGAAAACCCAAATGTCGCTGAATTCTGTGTCCCTCAAAGAACGAGAAACAAAAATAGGATTTATGTAAACACCATAAAGTCAGTTCATTGAGGAACATAGGTCCCATCCCTCTGTGTTTATCGACTTGCTGTCAGGATTATTTTGTCACAAACCTGAGGAATGCTGGGAGTGAGAGGGATAATATCAGGCCACTCACTGTTTTTTGAGTGCCAGCTTCCAAATCCTCCTGTAAGTGCCGGTGTATCCTAAACATCTCTGTATCCTGTCTCCCTCAATGAACTCCAAGAAAGGATTATATGGTTGTAAAACAAGCTTTGTAGTTGGTTAGTTTTGGCACCCAAGTACAAGGCCTTACCCCTGCCCCAGCCGTGCTAGGATACAATCCCACCTGCTGAGGCTGAGCCTCCACCATCTTGTGCCCTGCTCCTTGTCCTTAGGCCTGCTCATGACGGCCATAGACCTAAATTACCTGAAGAAGGAATGTCCACACATTAAATACCTTCACTGCACTTTACTGGTGTTGCTCAGATAATGGTAACACAGTCACAAGGACATACAATCCAGAGTCACTTGACATAAACAGTCAATCACAAAGTGGACAGTTCACAGCAGTCTCAGGTGAAAGCACGTGCAGCACCTCAGAGCCATTTCCCTGCAGTCTCTCCTCTGCCCAGGGTCATACAGTACAGAACTGTATTCTCTGCAGACACCTCCTAGCTGGCTACACCTCTCCAGGGAATCAGCCTAATACAGGGATCTCCAGCCTGGTCTAAAAGGCCTTTTGCAATCTGCCCTAGCCCCCACCTCCTGAAGGGACTACAAACGACTCCCCCTGCATCCAAGTCCACTCCACCCGGCCTCCTGCCCTGTCCAGGGCCCATGTGGGCAAATTACATTCTGACAGATGTGGTGTGTATGGCTCCCATGCCCCAAAAGGAGCCTAACACCTGGTGTCACTACCTGCTGTACCAGACACTATTCTGGTACAGAGCCTCCTAGTGGCAAAGCTGATAACTGCACCTGCCTACACTGTGCGTACAAAATTCTCATTTAATTTAACAACACGCCGTAATATAAAAAACAAACAAAAAAAAAAACATAATTTTACAGCAAATTAGAGCAAACTGGCCCTTTCTACACTAATAGCTAAGAAGTCAGGGAGATGACTATACATTCTTTTAAAAGTTTACAGATATGTCAGTTAAGAGAAAGTCACATACATGTGGATTTATAACGCATTGTCAGAGATGAATATTGTGTGACCTAGTTTGAGGACATCTATCTGTCATTGTATTGCAGAAGGCAACTGCGTAGAGTAAGCATTCATTCAAGTGTTTTTTTGTGTCTTGCAGGTTGTGGTGGAGCGGCAGCTGGGGCTGAAGATGAGGGTGAAGCAGAGGCAGGTTGGATTGAGGGTGCTGCTATCCTCTTATCTGTGGTGTGTGTTGTATTAGTCACTGCCTTCAATGACTGGAGCAAAGAGAAACAATTCCGAGGTCTCCAGAGCCGCATTGAACAGGAGCAGAAGTTTTCTGTGGTCCGTGGTGGTCAAGTCATTCAGATCCCAGTGGCTGAACTTGTGGTTGGGGACATAGCACAGGTTAAGTATGGTACGTTCTGCCACTTAAAATATTGGTATCTCGTGAACATGATGCTCTGTAAGGTGGGCGGAGCCAGTGACCCTCTTAAGACCTTGTTTTCTTCTGTTTCTACCACTAGGTGACCTTCTTCCAACGGATGGAGTGTTCATACAGGGAAATGACCTGAAAATTGATGAAAGTTCCTTAACGGGAGAGTCTGATCAGGTCCGCAAATCTGTAGATAAAGATCCAATGCTGCTGTCAGGTAAGGGAAGTATTCCTGTCCATAGACAGAATATGTAGAGCAGGGGTGAACTGACAACTCATGGGTCCCCCGGGCAATAGGGGATCATGGGGCCCCTGTGTCCTCGCCACACTCAAACCACACCCAAAAAAGCCTATGAAAGGTATGAGGGACATCTCATGGGGCCCCATACTGACCCTGGGCCCTCGGGCAGTGCCCGAGTTCCCCAATGGTCAGTCCGCCCCTGATGTAGAGTAGAAGATGTAGGTCACCTGAATGTAAAGTGTACAATCCAAACGCACACGTTCCTGCGTTAAAGATGGTTATGTGTATAAGTGGGTGCTGCAGCGATCGCTGGCTGCAACCGAACAGAATCAGCGAGGGAGAATGTCACCAGCACACCGAGGATCACCAATACGGGTCCAAAAGTTTTAATGAACGATCACATTGTTACAGCAAGGCAACGTTTCAGAGTCTCGCAGGACCCCTTCCTCAGGCATGTGACCAGGTCCTGCGAGACTCCGAAACGTTGCCTTGCTGTAACTACTATGTGATCGTTCATTAAAACTTTTGGACCCGTATTGGTGATCCTCGGTGTGCTGGTGACATTTTTCCTTGATGTAGGTCACCTGTTACATATAGGTTGTGGAATTGTCTCGTCTTCCGTCCCCAACCAAAAAGAACATCCCAGCTCTGTATTCTACATACAACATGATAGTCTTCAGCCTGCCACTCACCTTTGCAGTATAACATGCAACAGAACATAACCAAGAATTGAACTCAACCCTTCCAAAACTGAGCTTCTAGTATTCCCCCCAGTCCGTGCCCCCCCCCCCCCAACTTCTCCATCAAGATCAACAACACTACTATCAGTCCCACCCCTCACGCCAGGGTACTAGGTGTAATCCTAGACTCCAATCTGTCCTTCCAGCCCCAGGTCCAATCACTGACAAACTCATGTGGACTTCACCTCCGCAACATCTCCAAGATACGACTGTTCCTAACCTCAGAAACCACTAAGCAACTCATCCACTCCCTTTTTATATCATGCCTCGACTACTGTAACTCCCTCCTCATTGGCTGACCTCATTGCAGGCTATCACCCCTCCAGTCTATCATGAATGCTGCTGCCAGACTCATCCACCTTACTAACCGTTCTGTATCTGCCACCCCTCTCTGCCCATCCCTCCACTGGCTTCCAATTGCCCAACGGATAAAATTCAGAAGACTAATATTGACGTATAAAGCCATTCATAACACTGCCCCTAACTACATCACCGACCTTGTCTTTAAATACCACCCAAACCATACTCTCCGCTCTTTCGCAAGACCTCCTACTCTCTAGCTCCCTTGTCTCCTCCTCCCATGCTCTTCTCCAGGATTTCTCACGGGCTTCACCCATCCTCTGGAACTCCCTACCCCAAGCTATCAGGCTATCGTCTACTCTGCTCACTTTTAGGCGCACTCTGAAAACTCATCTCTTCAGGGAAGCCTACCCCGACCCGGCTAACTACTGGAATCCACTACTCCCCTAACCACTCCATCCCCCACAGCTAATGACCTCTTGTATCACTAGCCCCTCCCTCCTAGATTGTAAACTCCAAGGAGCAGGGCCCTCTAATCCCTCTTGTATTGAACTGTATTGTTACTGTACTTTCTCCCTCCATAATGTAAAGCGCTGAGCAAACTGTCGGCGCTATATAAGTCCTGTATAATAATAATAATAATAATTGAGGAAATACATATAAATTTTCCATTTAAAAAAAAAAAAAGAAAAAAAAACTACTTGTGAATCTGTCATGTTTCTCCAAAAAGCTTTGGTATAGTTCAATATAGTCTAGTTCTCTTTTAACCTGGAATAAGTATGTTCATTTGGGAGATCAGACCTTGCTGGGTAGATGCAGCATGGTGCGGTGGGCAGAGAGCATACAGAGTCCCGATTGCCGAAAACAATGTACTGCAAGAACAAACGGTCCAAACAGGCCCGATGGGGAGCTTCACCTGACCAGGGCACTCACAACAGTTCAGTGCTGAGATAGCGGGATGCAGGTTCTGAGCTGCAGACAGCGTCTGTCACAGGAGTGAAGTGTGGCTTGGCCTGTCCAACCCAATGGGGGGCTTCCTAAGAAGGCCCTACTCTTTCCCTACACCATCGGAACTTTTCCCTGCAGCTAATACGATCCCTGACCTGTCCCTACACTAGCCACTCGCATAAACGCATCTTGGGTCTTAAATGCCTGACCCAAGATGGCCTTCAGGGTTACGTGGGACGAGAGTATCCAACTGGATCACTGTCCTTTGTTACTGAGGAAGTCAAAGAAAAACCCAGTTTTCCTCCATTTCCTCTCCCCACTGCCTTGCCGCTACGGTCGAGCACCACCTACAGTGGAGAAAACACACTGCACCTGCCTACAACCTTACTTGGACTTTTTGATCCAAATGCTGACTCCAGGTCTAAAATTTTCACTGTAGGTCTTCCTTGTTTATTATACGCATTTATATTGCACCAACAATGTACATACTGTACATTCACATCAGTCCCTGCCCTCAAGAAACTTAAAATCTAAAGTCCCTAACGCACATACATACAATTTGGACAGGAGCCAATGAACCTTCCAGCATGTCTTTGGTATGTGGGAGGAAATTGTAGTATTGAGAGTGCATTTATGCAAGCGCAGGAAGAACATGCAAACTCCATGCAGATGGTCCTGGTTTGGATTTGAACGGAGGCAGCGCTCCAAGGCTGATCTGCTAACCAGGGGCAGACTGACAACGCATGGGGCCCCCGGGCAATAGGGGATCATGGGGCCCCTGTGTCCTTGCCCACATTCAAACCACACCCAAAAAAGCCTATGAAAGGTACCAGGGACATCTCATGGGGCCCCCTACTGACCCTGGGCCCTCGGGCAGTTCCCCAATGGTCAGTCCGCCCCTGCTGCTAACCACTAAGTTGCTCTGTTGCCTTTTATTAGTAAAAATCTGCGCCAGACCACTTTAGTGTCCTCTTATCTTACTGAAAATTTTACAGATTTTTAAATCTATCTTGCCTCATGGCTTCTATAGTGTCTTTTTACACCGACACACAGTCCCTGTGTAGGCAGGTCCAGTCTGTACTCCCCACCTTAGGTGGCGCTCAACCGAAGTGGCAATACAGGAGGGGATGGAAGTCGCGAGGAACTTGATTCCTCTATGACACGGGTGTCAAACTGGCGGCCCTCCAGCTGTTGCCAAACTACAAACCCCATGAGGCTTTGCAAGATTGACAGTTACAAGCATGACTCCCAGAGGCATGATGGGACTTGTAGTTTCGCAACAGCTGGAGGGCCGCCAGTTTGACATCCCTGCTCTATGACATTCTGCGGTCAACAGGGGGAACAACTATCTGACTGGATGCTAATGCCCCCATGACCTGAGCCGCCATCTTGGGTCAAGGCAACATATATTTAAGACACTGACCCCCGGGTTTGGTGCGCATTAGGTGAATGGCCATAGTAGACATAGGTTTCCTGTCTGACAGGGAAAGGTTCCAGAGGAGGAGGGACAGTACAGGGGCTACATCTAACTCGCTTCAGGAATCCTCCCCTTTGGGTGTGGACCAGCCAGGCCACATTTTGCTCCTCGTTGCAGACACTTTTGGCATCTTCAAAGTCTACAGGCCTCTCTAACAGTTCATAAGTTGCGCCTACCTGCCCGGTGTTGGCGCACAATTTCTACAATATATTGCTCTTGCCTATTTTGGACTCAGTGTGTTTACTGCTTGCCACAACATGCTGCACAATGCTCGCACCCAGGGGCGGACTGACAACTCATGGGGCCCCCAGGTGATAGGGGATCATGGAGCCCCTGTGTCCTTGCCCAAACTCAAAAAAGCCTATGAAAAAGGTACCAGGGGCATCTCATGGGGCCCCCAACTGACCCCGGGCCCTCGGGCAGTGCACGAGTTTCCAAATGGTTAGTCCGCCCCTGCTCACACCCGTACTGTCCTTGCATTCTGACTTCTATACTGTCTTTTCATGCATATCGCATTTTCTACCTAGGGACTCATGTGATGGAAGGCTCTGGAAGAATGCTGGTAACGGCTGTTGGTGTCAATTCTCAAACTGGAATCATTTTCACCTTGTTGGGGGCAAGCGAAGCTGAGGATGAAAAGAAGGACAAGAAAGGTCAGTGATCCATGCACAGGTCGGTTCCGGCACTGCCTAGTGCGGTCATGTCCCACCACGTGTTTGTTGTCCTGTGTAGAACACTTGTCTTCAGTCCGTTGGTGGCAGCTTGTAGAAGGTGATGTGGAGGTAGATGAGGAAGGGTCTGCAAGTCACCATAAACTCATTTTATTTTTTTATTGTGCGACCATAATGTCCCCGCTGATTCCCATGAAACATCTCTGCATGGTTAACATCTCCCTCTTGTTTTGTTTTCATCATCATCACACAGGAAAGAAAAATCAGGATGGAGCCAATCTACCAGGTATATGTACACCGAATTTCCCCCCTTCTGTAGACAAAAAGTCAACGTGTGCAAAGGAGGAAATAGAAAATAGTGTATATAGAGATAGAAAGTAGTCTATACTGTTTGTGGTAAGGTCCATCACTGCCCCACAGAAAAGAGTGTGCCTAGATACACACAAAGGGCGTTCAAGTCAGACCGGGACTTTTGAGTTTATATAATAAAAGAACAAATTTCAAGGAGTGAAAACTGCATTTATTTTTCAACATATTCCCCTGCTACATTTATACACCTATCCCAGCGTTTAACTAATGCCTGGAAAGCTTCGGCATAGAAAGATTTGTCGGTACGCCTGAACCATCCTAGGACAGCCGGCTTCACTTTGTCATCATTGTGTTCACCGTTCCCACAGAAAGATTCGTCTTTTGTGCAATTTCAGGACAGGTTATGCGTCGATCATCCAGGATCAGGCGTTCCACGTGCTGAATGTTCACAGGAATGACTGCTGTGGGCTGGGAACCACCACGGCCGGGGTCGTCACTGATGGACGTAGGGCCGTCTTCGAAACGTTTACACCATTCAGATGTCCTTCTACGGCTCATCACCGTAGGGTGCTTGAAGTCTTCTGCAGATCTCCGTGGGTTTTAGGCCTTCGTTCGCGAGAAACGTCATCACCGCACGCTTTTCCATACAACACTGTTGTCTACCATCTTGATTAACGGCCTCTGGACTGGCCTGTGACCAGGGGCGGACTGAAAACTCATGGGGCCCCTGGGCAATAGGGGATCATGGGGCCCCTGTGTCCTTGCCCAAACTCAAAAAAAGCCTATGAAAAAGGTACCAGGGGCATCTCATGGGGCCCCCTACTGACCCTGGGCCCTCGAGCCGTGCCCGAGTTTCCAAATGGTCAGTCCGCCCCTGCCTGTGACATATGCGCCGCCCAGGGGTGTATTTACCACAAGGCAAACAAGTCATTTGCCCAGGGCGGCATTTTTTCAGGGGGGGGAGCACTGCCCCTTGGAAGAAGGGACACATGCGGCATGGGGACCTGGTGGGTTCCGAGAGATGCTGCGGGTTTCATGACGGTGTATGCACAGCCCGACTCTCATTCCTGGGGATGTCCGGAGCTGTGAGGGTGAGTGTCTTTCTCTCTCAAGCCATGGGGGATGGTGGCTGGTGTATGGGGGGCAGGCAGTGGTATTGGAAGGCTTGGGTGGAGGGCACGGGTGTTCTTGGTCAATGTCAGACTCTTTCACTGGCCTATCAGTATTAGGACACACTTTCCATTTATTACTGCATGTTGTACCGCCATGCCAGCATCCCTTTTTATACCCGGAAAATTAAAGGTCCCAGGTTGACTTGAACGCCGATCGTACTAAAAAAAAAGTCTGCTTAGATATACGCTGTATGTGGGGAGGAATTAGAAAATTGTGTGCATAGAGATATACTGTACACAGTCTGTATGTAAATAGCTACTGTTTGTGGTGAGGAAATAGAAAAAAAAAGTGTAAAAAGATAGTTTTTAGGAATAAAAAATAGTGTCTATAGATAAACAGTATACTGTAAGTGGAGAGGTCCAGAATCTTCCAGCTTTGCTTTTATTACATTCGTGGCTCGTCAGAATGGCCGATGTGCAGTGTAGGACTCAGACCCCCGAAAATGTTTCGACTGCATCTTATGTGGATGCACCTAAAGCTAGGTTCAAAGTAGTGCAGTGAGATTTTGATCCAATTTTCAATGTGATTTTGTAGTGCAGCTGCAGTGCGATTTGGTTTCTCTTTTTTTTTTTATTGCACGTTTTGTCAACCAGCAAGGATGAATCATTGGTTGTTAAGGAGCTGGCGCCTCCTAACAACGATGAGTCATCCCTCCTGGCCGGGGGGATTCCCTTCTGAGTAGAATGTAAACAAAAGAGCTGAGGCGAAAAACAGCGTGGGGGCCCTATGGATTTTAAAGGGGACTGCGTGTCAAAAAATAATAAGAACAAATGCATTCCCCTCCTCCCTTCCCAAATTATTTATTTCATGTACTTATATAGCGCTGTCAATTTACGCAGCACTTTACATATAATATATATATATTGTACAATCACATCAGTCCCCGCCCCCGAGGAGCGTACAATCTAAGATCCCTAACCGGGGCGGACTGACAACTCATGGGGCCCCTGGGCAATAGGGGATCATGGGGCCCCTGTGTCCTTGCCCAAACATAAAAAAGCCCATGAAAAAGGTACCAGGGGCATCTCATGGGGCCCCCTACTGACCCCTGGCCCTCGGGCAGTGCCCGAGTTTCCAAATGGTCAGTCCACCCCTGTCCCCAACTCACATTCATACATACACATACTAGGGCTAATTTAGACAGGAGCCAATTAACCTACCAGCATGCCTTTGGGGTGTGGAAGGAAACTGGAGTACCCGGAGGAAACCCACGCAGGCACAGGGAGAACATGCAAACTCCAGGCAGGTGGTGCCGTGGCTGGGATTCAAACCAACGACCCGAGTACTGCCAGGCGGAAGTGCTAACCTTTTAGCCACTGTGCTGCCCTTAATACCAAGCCTTTGGGCTAATATGGATTTTAACCTCTTGGCGCTGGCCCAAACACAAATGTGCGGCCTCCCGGCGTCTGGGCCTAGACGCCGAGCTGCCGCACATTTGTGTTCTATTAAAAAAAGACCTATGTGCTGAGAGCGCGCGCCCTGCGCGCCCCCCCAGCACACATGTCCGGTACTCACGGAAAGGTACCGAAATCCTCTTTCCATCGGGACCTTTCCTGATCATGTGACAGCCGTGACGGCGTGTCACATGACTCTAAACCCCGCCCCTGCTCCCGGCTTCTGAAACCCTTGAAGGTCCGAGAGGCGCCGGCGCCAAGAGGTTAAGGGGATTCCCATGCCAAAAAAGTGGCTTGGGGTCCAAACCAGACCCTTATCCAAGCATGCAGCCTGGCAGGAAAGGAGAGGGGGCAAATGAGCCCCACCCCCCCTTCCTAAACCATACCAGGCCACATGCCCTCAACATGGGGGGGTACTCTGACATCAGGTTCCGGCTGCTAACAACCAGCACAAATTGCATTGAAAAGCATTTAAAAAAAAACACATGCAGATGCGAGTTTCCAACAGTATCCAACAGTAACCAGAAACCGGCACTCAAATCTCTCTTGCTGCACTCAAAATGGAATAGTGCATTGCCTGAGGTTCCGCCCTTGATAGATCGTGGAATCTTGATACTAGCAAGAAAAAAACAAAACAGGGCGCACGCTCCTCATGCATTAACGCAGAAAACCATACATTTATTAAAAAGATGCAAAAACAGACTCACAAGCCATAAAGGTCATAAAAACAGAGACAAGAAGTCAAAGGTGCCAATCGTGGACAGCATGGGTCCTTGGATAAAGTGCTACTGCGTTTCGGGAGTCGAACTCCCTTCCTCAGAGCAATAGATGCGAGTTTGATGCATGTTCATTGAAGTTTATAGACCTCAGAATCAAAGTGCACCGCACCAAAGTCGCAAAGCCCCCTAAAGTCGGATCACAGTCGCACTGCATGTCCATGAACGGGCTCCATAGAAACTAATGTTATAGTAAATGTTATCACATTGGAAATCGCATCAATGCGAATCGGGACTAACTGCAAAACGGAATATATTTCACAGAACAATCAGCACAACAGTCCAAAAAAATGAAGACAGTATTGATTTACCCTAACTAGTAACTGGGGCTTGGATGGTATTCTTAAATGAATTGGACAAATCTTGATAAAATCGGCCAAAGGCATTAGGAGAATAACGAGGAAGGGGCGTTGGTTGTTCCTCCTCATCCAATCAACTTTTCTTGACTCTAGTAGTGATTAAGAAAATCGTGAATTGAGACGTAAAGAGAACTGGTCTTCACTTCAAACACCCAATCTTGAGAACAGGAAGCTCTTTTTGGTTTGATTCTCCTGCGTTTGATTTGTGGACACAGTTTTTCTTCATCTCGCACGTTAGTCAATGAGGTCTTCTTGTATCCCTAAGTGAGAGTTTGTTCCCTTCCACTGACACTGGCCATTCATGGACCATGTGATCCTCAGACAGATTCCCTGAGCTGACTTTAGGGATGCACAAATATTTCTTTTCCCTCCTTTTGTACTCATGTTTTCATGCTGTGATTTTACTTGCTTTCTTGTCATTATTTTCATTTTCTTATCACAGTCGGTTCCACCCACCCATCCTCTCATCCTCCTGCAGCTACAGATGGGGCAGCAGGGGCAAACGTCACTGATAATGCAAATGCCAACTTAGTGAATGGTATGTCAACATCTAATTTTCCCACAATCCATTGTTCCATTTGTAGCATCCTTACGCTTCTCTCTGTAGATCGAACACCTGTTTATCGATATTACTAGTTAGTGAAGTACTCCGGAATTGGTAGCTTCCAAGTCTGTCATGTCCAGGTATAGATAGTAATTAATGTAAAGAAATCCGTGTTTAAACCTTATGGGTGTCTTTGTTAATCTTCTCCTTTAGGCTGGAGTCCTCTTTTATTAGTCATCATCTGTTTCAGGATCTCTGTCTTGGTAGTCCTCAGACAGGGGGTCAGAACTTCTGTCCACATTATGTCATATACAAAGGCAATATACAAATTCTGATGATTATCCGGTCTATTTGAGGTGTGGTAGTAGCTAATTTGACGTGTTAGAAGTCAAAATGTCACATTTATTAGAAGCAGGCAACATTAACCTAGAGGGATAGAAGCCCTGTGTGTTGGTTAAGGTTGCCTTTGGAGTCCATTAAAGGACCTTGAAGGACATCTACGCTCCTTGTTCTCCATCAGTCTTCCTTCAAAACTTTTTCATCTGTCCTTGAAAACTCCTCCAGCCTACATCTCAGAGGAGCACAAGCTAAGCAGTGTAGGTTGGAGACTTTGGAAGGAAGATTTATGTAGGACACGGCTGTGCTGTCCTAAATTGAAATCTGCAGACCAGATTCCGAGCTGAGAATTGCAACTTCTGTTGGCCAGATAATGTGTATTAATAGATAAATAATATATATCAGAATTGGCTATTATTAAACCAAACTGGTACTGTAACCTCTAAAAGTGAGTGATAGATACATGAAAAATCCATGTCTGTCTGTGGTGTAGAGTTGGTTGGGATTTGCTTCATCTGTCTTGTTCTTTGTTTGGTCTGATGTTTCATGTTCTGCTCTTTGTTGTCTGTTGAACTTCCACTGTGTAGGCAAAATGCAAGATGGGAATGTGGACAACATCCAGAACAAAGGTAAATTCTGTGCACTGGGGAGGGCTGCATACTGCATACACAACCAAGCAAAAAAACACATCATCATGTACGGTCTTCCTTCCCATTATTTCTTCTGTTCCTTTCCTCGCTCCTCCCCTCCTTATCTTCTTTCCCTTTTCCCTTTCTTCTGTATCTCTCTCTTTCCTACATTTCATTCCTTCATTGAGTCCCTTCTTCCTTCATCCCCTCCTTCCTTCCTTCCCCCCCACCCCCTCCCCACTTTACTTTATTTCCTCTCTACCCTTCTTCCTTACCTCCTTCCTTCCTTCCATTCCTTTATTGACTCGCGTTTTCCTTCCTCCCTGCCTTCCTTCCCTGTGTCCTCCCTTTATTATATCTTTCCTTCATTCCCCCTCTTCCCTACCTCTCTCCTTTCTTCCTTCCTTGCCTCTCTTCTACCTTTATCCCTTCCTTCCTTCCTTCCCTATGTCCTCCCTTCCTTATATCTTTCCCTCTCTCCCCTATTTCTTTTCTTCCTTCCTTTCATTGCCTCCCTTCTTCCTTCCTCCCTTCCTTCCCTGTGTCCTCACTTCCTTATATCTTACCCTCTGTCCTCTTCTTCCCTACCTAGTCTTTCCTACCTTCCTACTTTCCTTTCTATGTTCCTTTATTGTCTCCCTTTTCCCTTTACTCCATATTCCTTTTGCTTCCTGACCCCCCCCCCTTTTTTTTTTTTCTTCATTTCTTCCTTCCTTTCTTGCTATCCGCCTTCTTTCCCTTCCTCTCATCCCCCCTTCTGTTCCCTCATTGCCTTTATCACATTTTTCATTCCTACTCTTTCTTGGTCTCCTGCTTCCTTCTCTCCCCCATTCCTAAGATACCCCCTTTGGATCCTTCCTCTCTTCCTCCCTCCCCCTTTTCTCTTACCCTTTTTCTTACCTTTTCCTCCCTTCCTCTCTCTCCCTCCTTCCTTCCCTCCTCTCCTCTCTCCCTCCCTCCTTCCCTCTCTCCCTCCCTCCTTCCCTCCCTCTCTCCCTTCCTCCTTTCTCTCCTTCCCTCTCTCCCTCCTTCCCTCTCTCCCTCCTTTTCTCTCTCCCTGCCTCCCTCTCTCTCCCTCCTTTTCTCTCTCCCTGCCTCCTTCTCTCTTCCTCCCTCCTTCCCTCTCTTCTCCTTCCCTCTCTCCCTCCCTCCTTCCTTCTCTCCCTCCCTCCTTCTCTCCCTCCCTCCCTCTCTCCCTCCTTTTCTCTCTCCCTGCCTCCTTCTCTCCCTCCCTCCTTCCCTCTCTCCCTCCTTCCCTGTCTCCCTGCCTCCTTCTCTCCCTGCCTCCTTCTCTCCCTCCCTCCCTCCCTCCTTCCCTCCCTCCTTCTCTCCCTCCTTCCCTCCCTCCTTCCCTCCCTCCTTCCCTCTCTCCTTCTCTCCCTCCTTCTCTCCCTCCTTCCCTCCCTCCTTCTCTCCCTCCTTCCCTCCCTTCTTTCTCTCCCTCCTTCTCTCCCTCTTCCTTCTCTGTCTTTCCCTTCTCTTCTTCCCTTCAATCATATCTCTTTATCCACCAACACATCCTTCTTTTTCCAAGTTGGAATAGATACAGTACCTTCCTTTAGTAGCCCTGAGTACATAAACATACCGATATCAGGGCGGCACACACACATGATGCACATCATCTGCAGATGATGATCTCATTGCTCTTTTAGCTATCTAAACTTTTTTACTTCACTCTGTTCCGTTTATATGACATATTGACATCCACAGGTGACGATCAGTAAAATGCTGCAGTGTGCTATGGGGGCCGTGAGATCCCACCGACACTTCTAGAAATATCTGACCCTCCATAGACAACATGGCACCAACCACTTCTTTCTGCTTTTACAGCCAAACAACAAGATGGGGCAGCTGCCATGGAAATGCAGCCCCTGAAAAGTGCTGAGGGGGGTGATGGAGATGACAAGGACAAGAAGAAAGTAAATCCACACAAGAAGGAAAAGTCAGTCCTACAGGGCAAGCTGACCAAACTGGCAGTGCAGATAGGAAAAGCAGGTAAGTGACCTCTATATGTATGTACAGACGTACCTCGGTTTACAAATTTATTAGTTCTGCGGGACTTTCGTATTGCGAAAAATACGAAAACCGAAATGCGGTTTCCCATAGGAATGCATTGAAAACCAATTGAATCATTCCGGAGGTCAGAAAAAGTAAAAAAAAAAAAAAGTATTTTATCTGTTCAAAACTCTTTACATAGAGCACTTTAAAGGCATAAATACTGTACAGGGACATGATTAAAAATTAATTCGTAAATGCATTGAAAACCAATTAACCCGTTCCGGAGGTCAGAAAAAAGTAAAAAAGTCTTTTATGTGTCCAAAACTCTTTATAAAGTGCACTTTAAAGGCATAAAAAGGGACATGATTAAAAAAACAAAATTTGTAAATGCATTGAAAACCAATTAATCCGTTCCGTAGGTCAGAAAAAAGTAAAAAAAATTCTTATCTGTTCAAAATTCTTTATAAAGTGCACTTTAAAGGCATAAATACTGTACAGGGACATGATTAAAAAACAATTTGTAAATGCATTGAAAACCAATTAATCCATTCGGGAGGTCAGAAAAAAGTAAAACAGTCTTTTATCTGTTCAAAACTCTTTATAAAGTGCACTTTAAAGGCATAAAGGGACATGATTAAAAAAAAAAAATTTGTAAATGCATTGAAAACCAATTAATCCGTTCTGGAGGTCAGAAAAAGGTAAAAAGAAAAGTATTTTATCTGTTCAAAAACTCTTTATAAAGTGCACTTTAACGGCATAAATACTGTACAGGGACATGATTAAAAAAAATTTGTAAATGCACTGAAAACCAATGAATCTGTTCGTATTGCGAAACAAATTCGTAAACCGAGCCGTTATTTTCAATGGATTTTCATTCGTAAACCGAAAATTACATTAACCGAGGCGCTCGTAAACCGAGGTACGCCTGTATACGTATATGACAATGACCTTGGCTATTCCAAACTACCTAAAACCACCCCCCATCCAAATTCCATGCAAAGAGCCTCCGGAGGACCCAACATCAGTAACGTTACATCTGTAACGATCCACCTATTCTCCAAAATGTGCAACAACCACAATTATAACAGTATTTACATATTGCCAATCAGTAACTGGACTCACACATTACAGGGCAGTGACTGGACTCACACATTACAGGGCAGTGACTGGACTCACATATTACAGGGCAGTGACTGGACTCACATATTACAGCAGGGCAGTGACTGGACTCACATATTACACAGGACTGGACAGTGACTGGACTCACACACATTACAGGGCAGTGACTGGACTCACACATTACAGGGCAGTGACTGGACTCACATATTACAGGGCAGTGACTGGACTCACATATTGCAGGGCAGTGACTGGACTCACACATTACAGGGCAGTGACTGGACTCACACATTACAGGGCACTCACACATTACAGGGCAGTGACTGGACTCACATATTACAGGGCAGTGACTGGACTCACATATTACAGGGCAGTGACTGGACTCACATATTACAGGGCAGTGACTGGACTCACACATATTACTGGAGGGCAGTGACTGGACTCACATATTACAGGGCAGTGACTGGACTCACACATTACAGGGCAGTGACTGGACTCACATATTACAGGGCAGTGACTGGACTCGCACATTACAGGGCAGTGACTGGACTCACACATTACAGGGCAGTGACTGGACTCACACATTACAGGGCAGACTGGACTCACACATTACAGGCAGTGACTGGACTCACACATTACAGGGCAGTGACTGGACTCTCACATTGCTGATCAGGATACAAACACTGCTGTCTGAGCTACCGGTAATAAAGACCCTCAAGACTGAGTGCAAGTGCAGGCCCAGGGCAGGCTACTCTCCAATCTTGGACACCAGGGATAAGGCAACCACCACTGGGACCTCAACACCATACACACCAGTGGTGTATTTAGGGTTTGTGCTGCCCTAGGCAACCCAAAGATCATCTGCCCCCACAGACATGAACAAACACCACCCCCCCTTCCCCCTTTAATGGAGAGAGCCTGACATTGACTAACAACACCCCTGCCGCCCACCTGGGACAGCCTTCCACTAACCCCCCCAGGGATAGAGAGAAAGACACTCATCTTCACAGCTCCGGACACCCCCGGGAAAGAGAGTCGGGCTTTACATACACCATCAAGCAGCCCGCAGCCTCTCCGGAATCCCACCTGGTTCCCATGGCTCGCATGTCCCTTCTTCCATCCCTACATCTGGGGGGGAAGTGCTGTCCCCCCTGAAAAATGCAGCCCTAGGCACGTGCCTTGTTTGCCTTGTGGTAAATACGCCCCTGCACCACACCAGCCTTGCTGCCAACTCCAGATCAGGAGAATCAATACTGAAATAAAAGAAAAAGAAGAAGAAGGCGCAGCAGTCTAGTGCATTATCATAAGACTCTTTATTACATAAAACCAGATTCCAATGTACCCACAAAGGTACCAGCTATAGTGCATGCAACTTAATCCAGTCCCTGCGCTGAAATCCTGTTCATCAGCTTAGGCTGTACCCTCGAATTCAGAGCTAACCAGAACCCCCTCACTGTAATCTATAGTATATATAATTGTACGATTGCTCAAACTGCCCAAAGTACAAGAGCCCACCCCTGGAGGGGCCACGTTCGCACAAGACACTCCATACGCATGTGCAGAACCACAATCCCGGACAGTTCTGCGGGGGTTAATGCATATCGAGTGCTAGAACATGGCCCTTCCCCTTCCAGGGCTGGGATCTTGTACTTTGTTCAATTGTTGTACAACTATTTATAAACTGCAGTGAGAGGGTTCTGGTTAGCCCTGAAGAAGAGCGCATCGCCCTTGAAACGCGTAAGCTATGCCCCGGTGGATGAACACGTTTCGGCGTTGGGACCGGACTGTGCTACATGCACTATATTGGGTATTGTTATGAAAACATTGGAGCTTGGTTTTATTTGATAAAGAGTCCTACGATGATGCACTAGGCCAGTGTGCCTTCTTCTTTTGCTTTTATTGCCAATCAGGAACTGTACTCACTTTGCTGAGCAGTAACTATATATTGGTGAGCACTATTTCACATTGGTGAGCAGTAACTATATTCACATTGCTGAGCAGTAACTATATTCACATTGCTGAGCAGTAACTATTCATTCACTATTGGTGAGTAGTATTTACTCACACTGCTACTCACACTGCTTACTACAGAAACTGTACAAACATTACTTATCAGCAACTATACTCACATTGCCAAACTGTACTAAGCTGTATCTGTACTCACATTGCTGATCAGTAACTATACTCACACACATTGCTGATCACTAACTGTACTCACATTGCTGATCATCAACTATACTCACACATTGCTGATCACTAACTGTAGTCAACATTGCTGATCATCTGTAACACATATACTCGCACATTGCTGATCACTAACTGTACTTGCTGATCACTAACTGTACTCACATTGCTGATCATCAACTATACTCACATTGCTGATCATCAACTATACTCACACATTGCTGATCACTAACTGTACTCACATTGCTGATCATCAACTATACTCGCACATTGCTGATCACTAACTGTACTCACATTGCTGATCATCAACTATACTCACACATTGCTAATCATCAACTATACTCACACATTGCTGAATCATCAATTGCTGATACTATACTCACACATTGCTAATCAGTAACTGTGGTCACATTGCTGATCACTAACTGTAGTCATCACATTGCTGATCATCAATTGCTATACTCACACATTGCTGATCACTAACTAACTGTAGTCACATTGCTGTAGTCACATTGCTGATCATCAACTATACTCACACATTGCTGATCATACTCACACACATTGCTGATCACTATTGTACTCTCAATATATGTACTCACATTGCTGATCAGTAACTGTATACTCTCACATCGCTGATCACTAATTGTACTCACGTTGCCGATCAATATATGTACTCACATTGCTAATCAGTAACTGTACTCTCACAGTTTTGATCACTAACTGTACTCACGTTGCCGATCAATAAATGTAATCAAATTGTGGAGCAGTAACTGTAATCATGCACTGCCGAGCAGTAACTGTACTCTCACACGGCTGATAAGTAACTCTACTCACATTGTCGATCAATAACTGTACTCACATTGCTGATCAGCAGTTATACTTGCACATTGCTGAGCAGTTACTGTACTCTCACGTTGCTGATCAATAACTGTACTCACATTCCTGATCGCTAACTGTACTCACGTTGCCGATCAATAATGGCACTCACATTGCTGATCACTAATTGTACTCACGTTGCCGATCAATATATGTACTCACATTGTTGATCAGTAACTGTACTCTCACATTTCTGATCACTAACTGTATTCACGTTGCCGATCAATAACTGTACTCAAATTGTGGAGCAGTAACTGTACTCTCACACGGCTGATGAGTAACTCTACTCAAATTGCTGAACAATAACTGTTCTCACATTGCTGATCAGTAACTGTACTCACATTGCTGATCAGTAACTGTACTCTCACATGTCTGATCAATAACTGTACTCACATTGCTGATCAATAACTGTACTCACATTGCTGATCAGTGACTGTATTCACTGCTGATCAGTAATCGCGCGCTCACAGTAACCACACTCTCACATTGCTGATCAGTAACTGTACTCACATTGCTGATCAGTAACCACACTCTCACATTGCTGATCAATAACTGTACTCACATTGCTGATCAGTAACTCTACACTCTCACATTGCTGATCAATGACTGTATTCACACACTCACATTGCTGATCCGTAATCCACACTCTCACATTGCTGATCAGTAACCACACTCTCACATTGCTGATCAGTAAACCACTGTCTCACATTGCTGATCAGTAACCACACTCTCACATTGCTGATCAAACCACACACTCACATTGCTGATCAGTACGCACTCTCACATTGCTGATCAGTAACCGCACACTCTCACATTGCTGATCAATAACCGCACTCTCACATTGCTGATCAATAACCGCACTCACAGATTGCTGATCAATAACCGCACACTCACATTGCTGATCAGTAACCTCACTCTCACATTGCTGATCAGTAACCACACTCTCACATTGCTGATCAGTAACCTCACTCTCACATTGCTGATCAATAACCGTACTCACATTGCTGATCAGTAACTGCACTCTTACATTGCTGATCAGTAACCGCACTCTCAGATTGCTGATCAGTAACCGCACTCTTACATTGCTGATCAGTAACCGCACTCTCACATTGCTGATCAGTAACCACACTCTCACATTGCTGATCAGTAACTACTCTCGTGGCACTGAGCAGGCAGCATTCCTCCAATAATTATCTTGTGAAAAGGACGTAAGTTTTTCCCTTTCTGACCTTCTTTTAGGATCCCATTCCACAGATTTACAACTGATCAAAATCGAGATCCCTAAATCCCTTCCTCCCTCCAGAATTCCGCCATTTCTGCAGTATTTTTATTTTCTGGCCTCCTCGGGAGATATCGGGAATGTCGTGTTTGGCTGTCAGCCACAAAAACGCGTAACAGCCATTTCCAGCTCCATCCTTCTGTTTTCTTCACAATATAACTTTGATACCAAATCCTGCGGAGTATAAATATCTGTGAATATAATACAGACATATGGAGCTCGATTCACAAAGCGAATGTACCAGGATAAGAATCCTTCTTTTCAGGAAAAATGATAGATATTTTCAGCGTAGTTCAATGAGGCCTGAAGTTTGCAGTCACGGGGGGTTCAAGAAAGATCTGTCTCCTTGGGCTGAAACTTTGTAAATTGAGCCCAATGTTCGAATGTTAGCTACATGAACCACCCAAATAGAAACTCTACACAGTTCCTGGAGAAAACGCCGCTCCAGCCAGTGTGGGTCACATGACCATGGGCATTTGGTCACATGTTATACGAAAACCTTTTTTGTGTCAGTCAATGCTTATAGCAAAATAAAGTCCACATAAATGAATCCTCTGTGTCCAACTTCAATATTCCCATAAATCCAGATCAGGTGTGTACCTCAAAAATTAAAATAGTGCATTACCTCAATAACAATCAGTATATACTTCAACCAATACACGCCCGGCCAATAGCCAAAAGGCGGCCGCAAAATGTACTGGATTTCCGGGTTGGACGCCAAATGGCATCCTCCCGCACATGCGCACTTTTTGCGCTTGCAGAGCCGCGCAGCGGCGCGATCTGTCACCGGCCGTGTACCTCGGACACGGCCGATGACAGATCTGAGTGTCGGCCCCCCGTTGCCGGTACCATGTGACCTGCTGTGACCAATCACAGCAGGTCACATGACAGTTGTATACAATGGATGGCTTCATTCATGCATCCATTGTATACTAGTGTCTAGCTGTGAATGGTCACAGCTAATCACATGCCCATGTCATGTGATTAGCTGTGGCCAAATCACAGCTAAGCACAAAAAAAAACAAAAAAACCCTGAATGAATCGATGTCATTCCAGTAAATGCTTGCTTATAGCAAAGTAATTCTTTGCTATAAGCAAATTGTGTAAAAAACAAAAAAACAAAAACTGATCACTTCCCCAAAGTAGTACAGTGTTACTATGGTAATATTGTACTACTTTGGATATAGTTAAATATGAAAAAAAAATCTTAAAAAAAGAAAAAAAAGGTAATAAAAAATAAAAATAATAAAAAAATATAAAAAAATAAATAAAAACATAATTTTTTTTTCTCATACTGTCACCAGTCAGTGTCCCTGATCACCGCCATGCCAGTTATATGATGACGCTGTACTGCACTGGTGACAGTGTGTAAAAAAAAAACCAGTGAAAATAATTTTTTGCATTTTTTTTCATTTTCCCGAAAAATTTTGACAAAAAAAATACAACTTCAAAAAACTTGCCATGCTCTTATGAAGTACGTCGGACTGTCTACTCTGCAAAAAGGGGTCATTTGGGGGATATCTGTACTGTCCTGACATTTGGGGGATATCTGTCCTGTTCTGACATTTGGGGGATATCTGTACTGTCTGACATTTGGGGATATCTGTCCTGTTCTGACATTTGGGGGATATCTGTACTGTCCTGACATTTGGGGGATATCTGTACTGTCCTGACATTTGGGGGATATCTGTCCTGTTCTGACATTTGGGGGATATCTGTACTGTCCTGACATTTGGGGGATATCTGTCCTGTCCTGACATTTGGGGGATATCTGTACTGTCCTGACGTTTGGGGGGATATCTGTCCTGTTCTGACATTTGGGGGATATCTGTACTGTCCTGACATTTGGGGGATATCTGTCCTGTCCTGACATTTGGGGGATATCTGTACTGTCCCTGACATTTGGGGGATATCTGTACTGTTCTGACATTTGGGGGATATCTGTCCTGTTCTGACATTTGGGGGATATCTGTACTGTCCTGACATTTGGGGGATATCTGTCCTGTTCTGACATTTGGGGGATATCTGTACTGTCCTGACATTTGGGGGATATCTGTATCTGTACTGTCCTGACGTTTGGGGGATATCTGTCCTGTTCTGACATTTGGGGGGGATATCTGTACTGTTCTGACATTTGGGGGATATCTGTACTGTCCTGACATTTGGGGATATCTGTCCTGTTCTGACATTTGGGGGATATCTGTCGTGTTCTGACATTTGGGGGGATATCTGTACTGTCCTGACATTTGGGGGGATATCTGTCCTGTCCTGACATTTGGGGGATATCTGTCCTGTCCTGACATTTGGGGGGATATCTGTCCTGTCCTGACATTGGGGGATATCTGTACTGTTCTGACATTCTTGGACCTCAAGAAATTAGATTGGCTGTCAGTACTTCAGGATTGATCAATATTCAGATATATCCCATAGTTTGTGAACTCTATAACTTTCCTACAAACTAAAAAATACATCCTAATTTGGGTTATTTTCACCAAAGACATGTAGCAGAATACATCTCGGCCTAAATTTATGAAGAACAATTATTTATTTGCACACTTTTATAACAGAAACAAAGAAAAACTTGTTTTTTTTTTTTTAATTTTCGGTATTTTTTTGATGATTTAGCAAAAAATATAAAACCCCAGCGGTGATTAAATACCACCAAAAGAAAGCTCTAGTTGTGTGAAGAAAATGATAAAATTTTAGTTTGGGTACAATGTTGTATGACCGCGCAATTGTCATTCAAAGTGTGAGAGCGCTGAAACCTGAAAAATGGCCTGGGCAGCAAGGTGTAAAATTGCCCGGTATTCAAATGGTTAACAACCAATAAGTATATAGTTATAACAAATAAGTGCAAAAACAAACCAAGATTCAAAACGTGAGTAACACGTGAATCATGAGATCACTCTGTGTACACTATAAATGAATAAATATAAATAAATGTGAAAAAACAGTGTACACTCATAAACCAAAAAAAATATAAAAAAAAAAAACAAACAAAAAAAAAAAAATATAAATCAATAAATCAAATACATTAAATAAAATAAAAAATGATAAATAAATATAAAATAATAAAATCAATAAAATGGTGAACACTCCGTGAACACTTCTATAGAGCTAAAATGCATACAGTTACCCTCTCAAGAGGTAATTTCAAGCCATAACAGAGAACAATCAGGTGTTGTAGTCACTTCTCAGACTCCTACTCCAGAATGCTGTGTATGGGGTTCCAATCCTTAGGGAAAGCCCTTGAGACTCCATCATCCTCATGCAAATAGAGAGAGAGGCCCATGTAGCAAAACATAGTGGGTAATAAAACATTTAATTGTAGTGCTTACATTGGGGATAACAAAAATCAGCAATATATTCCCATGACTCAGCCTGAGCAGCTTCCTGGAACGTTAGTATTGCCTTTTCCAACAGCCAAGATGGCCGCTCCGCCACTTCCGGTTTACGGAATTACGTCAGATGTTACATCCCTGAAGCGTTTCGTCACTTCCGGACTTCTTCTGAAGGGATCTGGTCATATGATTTCTTGTAAATGGGAGCAATAGCCAATTGTAACTCTGATCCTCCCCTTTGAACAGAGATCAGAAGACCTTTTGGTCATGTGACCTGCACAAGTGGGCGCCCGGAAAAGCATTTTAGAAAATTTTATATTTTTTTTTTTTATACATCCCGGCAGGACTTTAGATTTATATTAATGTTCAGGTTGAGGTCTACCGTAATACGGAGTCTGTTTATTTCAAGGCATTGTGATAACACATTGTGGAACTGAAATTGTTCTCCTTCTCCAAGCTTCTCCGGCTAACCGTTGTCTTTGTCCTACAGGCTTGGTGATGTCGGCCATCACAGTGATCATCCTGGTCCTTTATTTTGCTATTGATTCCTTCGTTGTCCAGAAAAGGCAATGGTTGCCCGAGTGCACTCCCATTTACATCCAGTACTTTGTGAAATTCTTCATCATCGGTGTCACTGTGCTAGTTGTAGCTGTCCCTGAGGGCCTCCCCCTGGCTGTAACCATTTCTCTGGCATATTCTGTTAAAGTAAGTCTTTTTCACTCAAGTGATTCATGTCCAATGTCCCGTCTGAGTCTCCTGTTCACTGACAACAACACCAATGCTACTTTATTACAGAAAATGATGAAAGACAACAATTTAGTACGACATTTAGATGCCTGTGAGACTATGGGCAACGCCACGGCAATTTGCTCCGATAAAACTGGAACCTTGACAACCAATCGAATGACTGTGGTTCAGGCCTACGTTGGAGATGTCCACTACAAGGAGATCCCAGACCCCGATGGTCTTCCAGCCAAAACTTTAGATGTTCTAGTGAATGCCATTGCCATCAACAGTGCATACACATCCAAAGTCCTGGTAAAGTCAAGTTATTGTGCCGTCTCTGAAATGAATGCCAGGAAAACTTGTATCTGGTGCTTCTAAACGACTAAATAATTGTCCTTTGGATAATCCCAGGCTGGGGTGGTGTTTGATGCTTTATTTAGTCCTCACAAATGAGAAGGGAAGCTAAAGTTTTATTATTTTAGATCGTCTCTCTCTCTCTTTTATATATAGTATATATTAATAGGCAATTTTTGGATCACAGATAAAGGATTTCCAGAGCATTATGGGTTAGCCAAAGAGACAGCACCGCAGGTTGCTTTGAATGCTGTTTTTCAAGCCCGTGGTAAGGGATTGGTCATCGTTCTGATGACTATAAACCTCAGCTTGAGTTACTGAGTTATGTGAACAAGGGACTTTACAGCAAAGTGAGAGTCTGAAAGATGAGAAAATGTTTCCTTGAATTGTCTATATGCAACATTTTTAATGTAGAAGCCTTGTCACTGTAACAATTCACCTTCTCACAAGCTTGTAACTATATCAAGCCTTAGAACAAAGGGGGAGCAAACAATCACTGGCCTGGAAAGTCTTCATATAATAATACGAGAACCTACTTGTATAATGGCAGCCTAAAGTGATAATAAAGTCCAATTTAAAAAAAAAAAGGGTCATACTTACCTACTCCCTGCAATGATATTGCACAGACAGCACCCTCTCCTGCTCTTCTGGCAGCCAGCGCAATCAGCTTTTTCCCTGCACCAGTTGCCTCCGTAGCAAGCTGAGTACTTGTGCACTCCCGAGCTGAGCTATGTGCATCCATAGACACACACACAGTGCCAGTAAGCCATACCCCTGTTCTCTTCTCACAGTAGTTTGACTGACAGCAACAGGAGACTATGGCTCCACTGCCTTCAGTTTCTGCTGTAAAATCAGGAAGTGAATTGAACAATGCTGGAGCCAGGGACAGCACTGGAGCGGTGGTAGGAGCCAGGTAAGTGTTTAGGCATGGGGAGCTAAGACAGATAGAGGGTTGTTTTTACTGTAGTGCAGAGAATGCTTTAAAATAGTGGTCTCCAAACTGCAGCCCATGGGCTGGATTTGGCCCTATGCTTGCCTTTATCCAGCCCTTGGGGCACCATGCCATCCACTTACACAAACGATGAGGCGCCATTCCTCCCACAGTCACCAGTAATGTGGCACTATTCCTGCCACAGACACAAATGATGGGGCACCATTCCTCCCAGACACAAATGATGGGGCACCTTTCCTCCCACAGACACAAATGATGGGGCACCATTCCTCCCACAGACACCAGTAATGGGGCACCATTCCTCCCACAGACAAAAATGAATGGGGGCACCATTCCTCCCACAGATGCCAGTAATGGGGCACCATTCCTTCCACAGACACAAATTTTGGGGCACATTCCTCCCACAACACCAGTAATGGGGCACCATTCCTCTCACAGACACCAGTAATGGGACACTACTATTCCTCTCACAGACACCAGTAATGGGGCACCATTCCTCCCACATACACAAATGATGGGGCACCATTCCTCCCACAAACACCAGTAATGGGGCACCATTCCTCCAACAGACACCAGTAATGGGGCACCATTCCTCCCACATACACAAATGATGGGGCACCATTCCTCCCACATACACAAATGATGGGGCACTAATTCCTCCCACTGATACCAATGAGGGGCACCATTCCTCCCACAGACACCAGTAATGGGGCACCATTCCTCCACAGACACCAGTAATGGGGCACCATTCCTCCCACATACACAAATGATGGGGCACCATTCCACCCACAACACAAATGATGGGGCACCATTCCTCCCACAGACACAAATGATGGGGCACCATTCCTCCCATTCACCATTCCTCCAACAGACACCAGTAATGGGGCACCATTCCTCCCACATACACAAATGATGGGGGCACCATTCCTCCCACATACACAAATGATGGGGCACCATTCCACCCACATACACAAATGATGGGGCACCATTCCTCCCACAGACACAAATGATGGGGCACCATTCCTCCCACAAACACCAGTAATGGGGCACCATTCCTCCAACAGACACCAGTAATGGGGCACCATTCCTCCCACATACACAAATGATGGGGCACCATTCCTCCCACATACACAAATGATGGGGCACCATTCCTCCCACATACACAAATGATGGGGCACTATTCCTCCCACTGATACCAATGAGGGGGCACCATTCCTCTCCACAGACACCAGTAATGGGGCACTATTCCTCTCACAGACACCAGTAATGGGGCACCATTCCTCCCACATACACAAATGATGGGGCACCATTCCACCCACAGACACAAATGATGGGGGCACCATTCCTCCCACAGACACAAATGATGGGGCACCATTCCTCCCACAAACACCAGTAATGGGGCACCATTCCTCCAACAGACACCAGTAATGGGGCACCATTCCTCCCACATACACAAATGATGGGGCACCATTCCTCCCACATACACAAATGATGGGGCACTATTCACCATTCCACCCACATACACAAATGATGGGGCACCATTCCTCCTACAGACACAAATGATGGGGCACCATTTCCTCCCACAGACACAAATGATGGGGCACCATTCCTCCCACAAACACCAGTAATGGGGCACTATTCCTCCAACAGACACCAGTAATGGGGGCACCATTCCTCCTCCACATACACAAATGATGGGGGCACCATTCCTCCCACATACACAAATGATGGGGCACCATTTCCTCCCACAAACACAAATGATGGGGCACTATTCCTCCCACTGATACCAATGAGGGGGCACCATTCCTCCCACAGACACCAGTAATGGGGCACTATTCCTCTCACAGACACCAGTAATGGGGCACCATTCCTCCCACATACACAAATGATGGGGCACCATTCTTCCCACATACACAAATGATGGGGCACCATTCCACCCACAGACACAAATGATGGGGCACCATTCCTCCCACAGACACAAATGATGGGGCACCATTCCTCCCACAAACACCAGTAATGGGGCACCATTCCTCCAACAGACACCAGTAATGGGGCACCATTCCTCCTACATACACAAATGATGGGGCACCATTCCACCCACATACACAAATGATGGGGCACCATTCCTCCTACAGACACAAATGATGGGGCACCATTCCTCCCACAGACACAAATGATGGGGCACCATTCCTCCTCCCACAAACACCAGTAATAGGGCACTATTCCTCCAACAGACACCAGTAATGGGGCACCATTCCTCCCACATACACAAATGATGGGGCACCATTCCACCCACATACACAAATGATGGGGCACCATTCCTCTCACAGACGCAAATGATGGGGCACCATTCCTCCTACAGAAACCAATGATGGGGCACCATGACCATTCCTCCCATAAACACAAACGAGGGGGGGGCACCATTCCTATTTTGAGTACCAATAATAGGGCACTATTCCTTCCACTAAAGCTATGATGGGGCGCTGTTTGCTCTCACTGACACCACAGCGTTTTCTAATCTCACTGGCAATGATCTGGCCCCACTAAGGCCTCAAGGTCAGTAAACTGGCCCTTTTTTCAGAAAATTTGGAGACCCCTGCATTAAGCTAAAAATCATTTAGTCTTTAGAACCACCCAAACTGAGAAAGGAAGCATTTCTAGGGGTATCTCTGTGGTGGATCACACGTAATGATATACATGGATCTTCTCACCTGGTGGAATGGGTGTTCTGACACATACATGGCAAACAACTAAAAAAGGTTTGTGCTTTCTCACAAGCTAGGGGTGATAACACAATAGCAATACAGCCAGTGGTGACTTCACTAAAGAATCTGTTTAAGTATGTAAACCTAATACCCCAAATATATGGTTGGATGGACATTATCCAAAGGACAAAGCTGGCAAAATGGATTAATGATAAGCTATCTGTATTATCAGTTATATTTTATATATATATATATATATATATATATATATATATATATATATATAGTGCAAAAGTTTTAGGCAGGTGTGAAATAGGCTGTAAATGAAGAATGCTTTCAGAAATAGAAGTGTTATTAGTTTATTTTTATCAGTTGACATAATGGAAGTAAATGAGGAGAATAGAAATCCAAATTAAATCAATATTCAGTGTGACCACCCTTTGCTTTCATACCAGCATCAACTCTTCCGGGTACACTTACACACAGTTTTTGAAGGAACTCAGCAGGTGGGTTGTTTGACATCTTGGAGAGCTAAGCACAGATCTTCTGTGGATGTTGGCTGCTTTAAAGCCTTCTGTCTCCTCATGTCATCCCAGACAGACTTCATGATGGTGAGATCGGGGCTCTGTGGGGGCCAAATCATCCCTTCCAGGACCCCTTGTTCTTCTTTAAGCTGAAGATAGTTCAGTCCCTTGGCTGTATGGTTGGGGTCGTTTTCCTGCTGTAGAATAAATTTGTGGCAAATCACATATCTCCCTGATGGTATGGAATGATGGATAAGTATCTGTTTGTATTTCTCAGCATTGAGAACACCATTGATCCTGACAAAATCTTCAACTCTATTTGCAGAAATGCAGCCCCAAACATGCAAGGAACCTCCACCGTGCTTCACAGTTGCCTGCAGACACTCATTATTGTACCACTCTCCAGTCCTTCGCCAACAAACAGCCTCCTGCTACAGCCAAATACTTAAAATTTTGACTCATTAGTCCAGAGTACCTGCTGCCATCTTTATGCACCCTAATTCCTATGTTTTCCTTGCATATTTGAGTCGCATACCCTTGTTTCCATATCGAAGGTATGGCCTTTTGGCCACAATTCTTCATGAAGACCACTTCTGGCTGGACTTCCCTGGACAGTAGATAGGTGCACCTGGGTCCCACTGGTTTCCCCCAGTTCTGTGCTGATGGCACTGCAGGACATCTTCCAATGTGGAAGGGAAGTAATCATGATGTGTCTTTCAACTGCGTCTACAGTCCTCAACGTTGCCCATTTCTTTGTGCTTCTTCAAAAGAACTTGATTAATTGAACTGATGATTTCTGAAGACAAAAGGTAGTCACACCAAATACTGATTTGATTTAGATTTGTCTTCTGTTCACTCACTCTACAGTTTGCAAATGAATAAAAATAAACCATTAAAATATATATTTTTGAAAGCATTGTTACTTCACAGCATTTCTTCATACCTGCCTATAACTTTTGCACAGTAACTACTATATATATTCTATTCAGAAAGTGAGTTTCTCATTATTTTGATCTTCTTGCTCAGCCAGCGGAAAAGGACGGTGGTCTCCCAAGGCAAGTCGGCAATAAAACAGAATGCGGTTTGTTAGGATTTGTGTTGGATCTAAAGCGAGACTACCAGGGAGTGCGCAATATCATACCGGAGGAGAAGCTGTACAAAGTGTACACCTTTAATTCTGTCAGGAAATCCATGAGCACTGTCGTTAAACTGGAGGACGGAAGTTTCCGCATGTACAGCAAAGGAGCCTCAGAGATCATTCTGAAAAAGTAAGCCGGTGACTTGTCTGCTCATACCATAGCTTTCTAGGCACCGCAGAACAGGCGACTTCATCATCTTATGTTTTGTAGGTGTTCGAAAATCCAGAATTCAGCCGGAGAGACCAGACTTTTCAGGCCCAGAGATCGAGATGAGATGGTAAAAAAGGTGATAGAACCCATGGCCTGCGATGGACTCAGGACAATCTGCATTGCCTACCGGGATTTTAGCCAGAGTCCAGAGCCGGACTGGGACAACGAGAATGATATAGTGACGGATCTGACATGCATCGCTGTTGTCGGCATTGAAGATCCTGTCAGGCCAGAGGTAAAGTATGTACCTTGTTTGAAAACTGTTTCCTTTTCTTCACTGAAATCAAAGTAAAAAATGGATGTGATTTTTTTTTTTTTATAAAAAGAGTGTGAATGATAGGATTTTTGTAGTCATTGTAAAAATTTGTTTCTTGGAAACCCTTGAGGGACTTGGGAAGCCTTTCACCCTCAGGATATAATGTATACTACAGGGCGATTAAAATTTGGCAAAGGGAAACTGGGTTTCTTTAAGATTCCTTTGGGTCCCGGGAGCAGCGGTTCCAGTTGGCGATGCTGCATCCAGGTGACCCTGGCGGCTATCATGGGTCAAGCAGAGTCTTTTTAAGTTGCTGCCCCTGGGTTTTGGCACACATTTGCAAAGGGCTAGTGGAGGGAGAGCCTACCTGTCAGGGGCAACACAAGCGACAGGGAGAGGTTCCGGAGGAGTAGGGAAAGCTCAGGGCTTACGCCTGTGACTTCAGCAAGCTCCCCTTTGGGTTAGAGCAGCCAGGCTGCATTCCGTCTGACACAGAACCGGACCCCGACTGCACTTGGGTATTTCCATTATAATACCGCTTCCCCGTCTGAACACCGACCACGGACACCACCGCTGACCATACTAGACTAGACAACACCAGCCTTGAAATAAATCAGGAAATAGACTACTTTATTTTAACACAGATACAAGATATATACATTGAAGAGAACAATTCCCCCCTCCCTGCATAATGACACAGGGCAGGGCAAACCACATCTAGCAACAAGAGACACATCAGCACACCCCCCCACCAAGCCAATACACAAACACATACATCCCATAATAGTTTGCTCCCAAGCAAGACACACAATAGAACAATGGGATGCACCACATATCATTAAACAATCAACAACCCTCCACCCCAATATGAGGACATTTCACCCTGTACCCCTAACAGGCACAGGGTGACTTACACATAATAGGGATATGGGCAGCTGAGACAGGGGTCTCCCCACCACTCCAAAGTGAGCTGGGTTCCATGGGCCCCCCACCCAAAAGTGACTCCCGTCACACCGTCCTCTTTGGCAGGCACTGTCTTTAGTTCAGGCCTACTCACCGCTGACTCTCCGCTCCATTGACTGTTAGTTCCTGGTAGGGTGAGCTCTCCCGCTGGGCAGTTGTTCTGTTTTGCAAATTCTACAATACATTGTTTCCTGCATCCAGAGCCTCTGTATGTTTACTGCTGCACCTACCCAACAAGCGTGGGACCTATGTTCCTTGATGAGATTAAAGAAAAGGATTTTATTTATTGTCCTTTGAGAGACACAGTATTGTAGAATAGTCTATGGCAAGTGGGTTATACACACATGATGTTTGGACTCTGGCAACCATCATGCTTCATTTTCCGGCTAGTGTCCTAGGAGGGTTGGATGTCTTTTCCTCAGCTCTACTGTGACAAACTCTAATTTCTTCTTTTCCACCATTTTTTTTTTCTTTTCAATCAAGATATATTGCTTTTTCTACAGTAGCTTCATTCAAGACCTCAAAGATGCTGCCTGAACTTGGCTGCATAGTGGCTATCAGGATCCTCAGCATTTGCCTTGAAGGCTATACCCGAACCCTGCTGGGCTGAAGATTGCCTTTGTGTACTGTGTTGTCAGCTGCAGGGCATTTTTTTCCCTAGTCTAGGACTGCAGCACAGTCCCTATTGAAACATTCTTAGTGATTAAAACCATATAGGCTTTTGACTACCATATTCAGACTCCAGTTTTTACCTGATTTATGGCTGTCAACGCTTGAATTTATTTGTGTTTTACCACAATGTATCCTTTCCAACTTCAAAGTGTGGTACAGCCTATGTGGAGTTATTTCTCATTGTTAGGTTTGCATTCCTTAGGATGCTTGAGGCTTCCATCCCCTCTTCCCCTCTGTAGGGATCTTCCAGTTAGCTGTTTCTACAGGAATCAGTTTCTAAACCGTTGGTATTTTGTATTTTTTACCTTGGCATAGAACCCTAAGCTATTCTAAATATTTTTGCTAAAAAGGTCAGAATCCTTCTCCCAAGCAGTTTCCTGCATCAGTGTCAGGAGTGTGTAATGCTCCTGTTCCTTGACAGCTGCTGGTGTCATTCCAGCATCCAGGTTTTGGCTGAGCTTCACTCTCTTTGTCTGGGTGATTGATGTAGACAGCCTCTTGGTGGAGACCAAATCTGTTTTAAGCCAGCCAAGCCCGCAGTCTCATGCTTGTGATAGTGTTTGTAACTCATGCTTCCTATTTCTCTGCATTGTTCCCATGTCTAGACCTGCATCTTAGCCCTGCCCTGCCAGCTTGTATGGGTTGCCTTGTTGATGACCTTGGATCGGATTTAGACCACACTGAGAACTCTGCCTGCCTTTTGACCACGGATTGACTCTGGGGATTCTTTGTACTCTGCCTGCTTTGGAGATAGACTATCACTAGACCACTCTCCCTGGTTGCCAACTGCAAGTACCTGTTCGCTGTGCTTGGGTTGCATCTTTCCCGGCATGGTAGCCAGGCACTATAGCATTGTGTATAAGACCTGGAGGCAACTGAGTACTGGTAGGCATGCTTGCCCTATGGAAAAGGGGGCTGCTATAAGTGAAGGTCGCAGCAACCAGCCAAAGTGCTTGACCACCTACGTTAGGAGTAGACCTGACAATAAGGGTGTAAAAAATGTTACCTTCATGGAAACATCACATCCCATTTGATTGCCCTCCCAAGAGATTGTTTGGGACTACTTTTACGAATGTCTATGCTGACCTTACTTCCATTTGTATTTTGTCTCATTACACTATGGGAGTACTTATTCTAAGGTTGTGTCCTTCTTACAAGGAAACATCCTTTACTACATTTCCTGTACTTTCCTGAAGGTCATCTAACAATGCGGTCCATTCCATTAGTAGGGTGATGTAATCCAACAGCTTTAGGAGCATTTCATTTTTCATTCCTCTTTCTTGTGCTCCTAGCAGATTCCTAACCCTGGTTTCTCTGAGGTGGGTTCTGCTCATCACATCTAAATATACTAATTCTTTAAATTATAAATATATTGTTTACTTGATAAAACTGGCTTTCTTATGCCTGTCACATTCCCAAATTAATTAGAATGTTTAAGGCATGGATCATCTCATCCTCCTGCTTATTATTTTGTTGACCTTTTGGTTTTACAATTTCACTTACCCCTATCTGATGTGGGTTTTTGTTACCACTCCTCTTTTTCTTTTTAGGATTGCCCTAACGTCATGGGTTGTAGATACATAGGGGGTTATTTACCAAAGTAACTTAAACTCTAAACTGGAGAGTGCAAAACCTGGTATAGCGCTGCATAGAAACCAATCAGCTTCCAGGTTTTATTGCCAAAGCTTAATTGAACAAGCTGAGGTTGGAAGGTGGCCATGCACAGCTGCACCAGATTCTGAGTGATCCAGTTTTTGTAAAATCTCCCCTTTTTATCTACGTTTCTGACTGATATCTAGTCATTTTCTTGTTGTCTGGGCATACTTTGTTCGTCCTTGCTTCTCTTACCTTGAATTTAAGGAGTTGGTTTTAAAACGCTAAGGCCTTCACAGCAATATTTTCTTTTTGATTGATGTATCTGTGGGCTATTTTCCTTTTCCTGCTTGGTTACTTCTATCCCTCATGGTGGATGTTAGGTTATCTTCCACATTGTTAGTAAAGGCTCATTGCTCCTTCATGGACCAGTTTTCTCTCAGAAATTGTTAGTCATGGTGTGGAATATCAGGTTGATTTTACATGTCTTTAGTTGACAATGTCCTTTTCCACCTTGGTGGTTGTTACTCATCAATGCTTTTTCTGGCATTCATACTAGTTAAATTTCACATGTGTTTTTCTTCTAGCACCTTTGCCCACCCCTCAGTTTGACTGCTTTTGGATGTCCCATATGTTAGACTGTTCTAAAATCCCTTGTCCCTCAATGGACGATAAAGAAAATAAAATTTTTGCAGTTATTGTGAAGTCTTCTTGGAGTCTATTGAGGGACACAGCTCCTCTGTGTTTTTGGCCTTATGCACCTCTTGCTCACAGAACTGAGACATGCCAGTTGGGGATGGGGTTATATAGGGCCTGGTTTAACATTTTTACCAGTGTCCAAACCTCCTGTAGACAGAAGTATATCTCATATGTAACAGAATATTCTACAATCCAGTAACCCTTAAATCTACTCCAAAGAAAATATTTTCTGGTACTAAAATATTTATTGGGGAGTGCAAAAATCCTATTTTGTGTGTTGTCCATTAAGGGACATAGGAAGACTTTCACTTTTGGGATATAAAAGGGGTGGCAACACAGCAAACAAAATGCTACCAGGCATAAGAAACAGCAGAGAACTAGGCCCTGCCTGCAGCTCAAGGAGCCATCTGAAGGACCTGAAAGCTGCAACTTTCATCTGGTAAAACTTAGAGAACGGAAGACCAGAATGGCAGCCTTGCATATCTGGGAAAAAGTAGCTTGAAGCCAAAAACCCCAAGAAGCATTTACAGATGTAGTTGTGCGGGCTTTAACAGGAAAGCGTGGAACCCGATCCATGAGACCGTAAGCTTGAATGATAGCCTGTCTGAGTCACCTAGAGATAGCAGAACAAGAATCTGGTGTAACCTTACAGGGAACACCTTCGATGACAAACAGGAAAACAGTCTTTCTGAAAGCAGTGATTACGAGACACTCTTGCACAGCCCAACCACATCTAGAACCACACAAATGGAGGGAAAATATCCATTTTATCCAGAGTTCAAGTCCAAGAGCAATGAGGATCACCAGAATGCCCCCCATCTTGGTTCTGCAATGAAGATGCAAAATAGGATTCAGGGATGAAAAGGAATAGATCAGGCTCTGCTGATCCCATGAAGTCCACAAAGCATCCACTGCTTCTGCAAGAGGATCCCTGGACACATCCATCTTCCCCCACCTACAACACAGGTCCTGGAACTCCTCCAGATGATGAGGAAATCTGCCTGTCAATTGTCCATACCTGAGATGTACACAACATACAAGACAGGAATGTAAAGAAAGGATCCAATTTCTTGTCACAGCAGAAGCGGCAGTGGGGAGATGCTTCCTTGATGCTAAATGGTGGGAACAAAAGAGGATGCATTGCTCCATCCAGTGGATGACATCACTCAGGCCCACAGTGTTAACCTTGCCTGTGGTGGAAAAGGTGCCCATTGGCTATGTGTTGAGGTAGCTGGTAATTGGCCTATCTGGCTTACTCATAAAGTGAGTCATCAGAGACAGGGAGCGATCCACTGCCAACGTTTATCCAGAACGTTGTCTGGACAGTACCCAAAGCTTGCTTCCAGGCTATCCCCTCAATATCCAGTCCAGCCTTCCAAAAGCCAAGCCCAAGACAACCACTGTAGAAAGTTGTGATTGCAGGAGCAAGCTTCAACAGTGATGTAGAAAAGAGTCTTGATTAAAGAAAAAAAACAAATTCAAGAGCAAGAAAAAAAATGCTAATAAAAATAGGTTAGTCTTGCACACTAGCAAAAAACGGAGGCATGCTGGTAGTAGGAAGGGTTATCCTCTGTTGGCCAATAGCTTTTTTTTTGCCAGTGTCCGTTCCTCCTGTAGGTGGCAGTTTGACCCAAAGGCAAAAGACTTCTTGTGTCCCCAACTGATGAGATAGAAATTGTGATTAGCTATATTGTAAAACTCGGAATCAAGAATTTCTAACTGACTGACAGCTCTGATGTTGACACAACTATGGCCTCTGGTATGGAAACTGAAGGAGATGGAAGTAGAGATGCTGTCTGTAGTGGCCAGTCAGCTTCCAGTTAGTATAATGCTTGCTTAAATATGAAAGCATGAACTTGGTAAGTCAATACCTTCCTTCTCTGCACTGGATGTGGTTGTAAATTGGCGCAACTGCCTCGCACACAGTTCTCCCCTCCTAGTTTGACTTTCTCTGGGATAATTCTGACTATTTACCTTCCTAGTACAGAGGCTGTATTAGGCCAGAACAGGGGGTCTCCAAACTTTCTAAACGAAGGGCCAGTTTATTTTTCTTCAGACTTTCAGGGGGCTGGACTGTGCTCAGTGGGAGTAAACAATGCCCCATCTTTGTTTATTAGTGGGAGAAATAATGCCCCATTGTTGGTGTCAGTGTGAGGAATTATGCCCCATTGTTGGTGTCAGTGGGAGAAGTGCCCCATCTTTGGTATTAGGGGAAGATATATAGCCCCATTGCTGGTTTCAATGGGAGGAATAGTGCCCCATCATTGGTGTCAGTGGGAGAAGTAGTGCCACATCTTTGGTGTCAGTGGGAGGAGTAGTACCTCATCATTGGTGTCAGCAGGAGGAATAGTGCCCCATCATTGGTATCAGCGGGAGGAAGAGTGCCTATCATTGGTGACACTGGGAAGAATAGTGCCCCATCATTGATATTAGGGGGAGAAATAGCGCTCCATTGTTGGTGTCAGTGGTAGGAATAGTGCCCCATTGTTGTTGTCAGTGGGAGGAATAGTGTCTCATCATTGTCAGTGGGAGGAATAGTGCCCCATCATTGGGAGGAATAGTGTCCCATCTTTGTTGTCAGTGGTATCATGGGGAGGAATAGTGCCCCATCATTGGTGTCAGTGGGAGGAATAGTGCTCCCATCATTGGTATCAGTGGGAGGAATAGTGCTCTCATCATTGGTATCAGTGGGAGGAATAGCGCCCCATTGGTATCAGTGGTATCAGTGGGTGTCAGGAGGAATAGTGCCCCATCATTGGTATCAGTGGGAGGAATATGACCCATTGTTGGTGTCAGTGGGAGGAATAGTGCCCCATCATTGTTGATGTCAGTGGGAGGAATGGTGACCCATTGTTGGTGTCAGTGGGAGGAATAGTGTCCATCATCATTGATATCAGTGTGGGGAATAGTGCCCCATTGTTGGTGTCAGTGGGAGAAATTTTGCCCCATCGATGGTGTCAATGGGAGGAATTTTGTCCCATTGTTGTTTTCAGCAGCAAGAACAATGCCTGAAGGGCTGGATAAAGGCAAGCAAATGGCCATATCCATCACCCGGGCTGCCGTTTGGAGACCACTCGGCCAGATGAACATCACTAAATTCTATTGTTTTGTTTCCTGGACATGAACTCCAGCATTTCACTGGATGGCTCTGGAAGTGTTAACTCTTAAAGAAATGCTGTTTGGTTCCTCAACAGGTTCCTGAGGCAATCAGAAAGTGCCAGAGGGCTGGTATCACTGTTCGTATGGTGACAGGAGATAACATTAATACAGCACGTGCCATTGCCATTAAATGTGGCATCATACATCCTGGAGAAGATTTTCTCTGCATTGAAGGGAAAGAGTTTAACAGACGGATCCGCAATGAAAAGGGAGAGGTATGTCATTTACAATACAAGAGCACACATGAATATGTTGCGTAGTAAATGTCACCTTATCACAGAGTTCTTGTTGTCTGTGTGTAGATTGAACAGGAGCGGATTGATAAGATATGGCCAAAGCTGAGGGTTCTGGCTCGCTCATCACCTACTGACAAACATACACTGGTGAAAGGTAAGGACATACTGAAAAATGTACAATAGTGAAAGCTGAGGCCATGATCTTATTGACACCTAGAGGAGAAAGTTAAGACCGGGACCTTATTGACCCACATGTAGAGGTGAGAGGTAGGAACCCAGCCTTCTGACACATATACAGAGGCCATAGGTGACTTTGCTGACAGACATACAAAGGTGAAAGGTAAGACCAGTGCTAGGACAGGTTCCTTTAGTACTCAAGACAGAAAGGCCAAAGTGCAGCTCCCCTTAATGAGCTGTGAACTACCTCAGCTGCAAATGTTGCAGGCCTTGCCATTATTGCACCTCCCTACTACTGAATTGCCCAAGGCAGCTGCTTCTTACTTCATGCATCATACATACTAGGGAGAGAACCACCTGGGGAATCAATGGTGAAGGATCTGGGGGAATAAATGGTGCAGAAGGATCTGGGGGAATAAATGGTGCAGAAGGATCTGGGGGAATAAATGGTGCAGAAGGATCTGGGGGAATAAATGGTGCAGAAGGATCTGGGGGAATAAATGGTGCAGAAGGATCTGGGGGGTCAATGGTGGAGAGGGATCTGGGGGAATAAATGGTGGAGAAGGATCTGGGGGGTCAATGGTGGAGAAGGATCTGGAGGTTCTGGTAGATCACAAGCTTAATAATGGCATGCAATGCCAAGCTGCGGGTTCTAAAACGAGCAAAATCCTCTCTTGTATTAAAAGACGTATAGAGTGATATCATTTTACCCCGGTACAAATCATTAGTAATACCTCATCTGGAATATGTAGTTCAGTTTTGGGCTCCAATTCACAAAAAGAACATTGGGGAACTGAAGAAAGTGCAGAGAAGGGCAACCAAACTGATAAGAGGCATGGAGGAGATCAGCTATGAGGAAAGATTAGAGGAACTAAATTTATTCTCTCTTGAGAAGAGGAGATTAAGGGGGGGTATGATCTCCATGTATAATACATAAGGGGGGATATGATCTCCATGTATAATACATAAGGGGGGATATGATCTCCATGTATATAATACATAAGGGGGATATGATCTCCATGTATAATACATAATATGATCTCCATGTAAGGGGGATATGATCTCCATGTATAATACATAAGGGGGGATATGATCTCCATGTATAATACATAAGGGGGGATATGATCACCATATATAATACATAAGGGGGGATATGATCTCCTTGTATAATACATAAGGGGGGATATGATCTCCATGTATAATACATAAGGGGGGATATGATCTCCATATATAATACATAAGGGGGGATATGATCTCCATGTATAATACATAAGGGGGGATATGATCTCCATGTATAATACATAAGGGGGGATATGATCTCCATGTATAATACATAAGGGGGGATATGATCTCCATGTATAATACATAAGGGGGGATATGATCTCCATGTATAATACATAAGGGGGGATCATGATCACCATATATAATACATAAGGGGGGATATGATCTCCATGTATAATACATAAGGGGGGATATGATCTCCATGTATAATACATAAGGGGGGATATGATCTCCATGTATAATACATAAGGGGGGATATGATCTCCATGTATAATACATAAGGGGGGGATATGATCTCCATGTATAATACATAAGGGGGGATATGATCTCCATGTATAATACATAAGGGGGGATATGATCTCCATGTATAATACATAAGGGGGGATATGATCTCCATGTATAATACATAAGGGGGATATGATCTCCATGTATAATACATAAGGGGGGGGGGGTATAATACATAAGGGGGGGGGGTATGATCTCCATGTATATATACATCAATGGTTCATATAGTGAACTCGGTGTAGAGTTATTCACCCTGAGGTCATCACCTTTCTGTACGTCTCCAAATACAGAAAGGTTTCTTCACAGTAAGAGAGCTGTGAAAATGTGGAATAGACTCCCTCAAGAGTTGGTTGTGTCCAGCTCAGTGGATTGCTGTAGGAAAGGCCTGGATTCTTCCTTAGATACACAGAATATACCTGGATATAACATTTATAGGTAAAGTGGATCCAGGGAAAATCCGATTGCCTCTTAGAGGATCAGGAAGGAATTTTTTTTTCCCTGCAGGAGAAAATTGGATCATGATTTGCTGGGTTTTTTGCCTTCCTTCAGATCAACTGTGGGTGTAGGATTATAACTTTTTTTTAATGGTTGCACTGGATGGACTTTTGTCTTTTTTCAGCCATACTAACTATGTAACTGTGTAACAGCAGATCCCTCCCATCATCAATTGACCCCCCAGCAACAATAGGTCCCTTCCTCAACAACAGATCCCCCACAGCAATAATAGATCCACTAGCAGCCAGCATCAATGGACCCTCCAGTGCACCCCAGCACCTCTTGCCAATACATACATTCATTGCTGGAGGTGACGCAACTGTGTTCCCCCACTGAAAAAAAGCCTTGACCTTACTGATACATGTACTTACCGATCTATGCCATCATATGTGTATTACAATGAATGTGTGTCTCTTCCCGATCTTACCCAATATATGTTTATTCAGGTTACACTAATGATCGCTTCCTGTTGTAGGTATCATAGACAGCACACAGGTGGAGCAGAGGCAAGTAGTTGCAGTAACCGGAGATGGAACAAACGATGGCCCCGCTTTAAAGAAAGCAGATGTTGGATTTGCGATGGTAAGTATAACATTCCTGATTTGCCATATGCTTGAAAAAAAATCCTAATTTCTCACACCCCTCAAATACCCCCCATACATTAGACTTCTGTAATAAGTAGTTTGTAAAAAGACTAACCTTTTTTTACTAGTTCCTTTTTTCTAGAATGTTTTTTTTCTTCAGTCAAAGACTTTTCTCTACTGCTAAAGCTTTGCCTCTTCGATTACAGCTATCTGGCACTTTCATCCTTTGGATTGCCAGGCCCGGACGCTGCAATGTTTTATGGTTACCATGAAAGTGACCCTCAGGCAATGGGTTCCACGTAGGGGCCTTTACAGCCCCTGTTCTGGTAAAAGCTAGCCATGGGACCCTTTCAAATTCCACAACTGCTGGCAATGACACTGTTTGCGAGCAGGCTGGTTGGGAACTACTTTAAAGGAAAAACATGGTCAATGTTTTTTTGGTCATACTTCTGGGCATCACAGGAGTGCACTTAGTTCTGTACTCCAATGCCCCAGATTCAGCCAACAGTGGGATCCATCTGGATCCACCCAGAAGCCTGACTGGCAGCCGGCAGACTACTACTCACTGAAGACCGAAAACTGAGCAATTAGGAGGTCTTTGATTGCACAGTTCTTGGTGTAGAGCTGGTGGGAGGACAGCTGCAGCATCGGATCAATACTGCAGCCATCTAGGTGAGTTTGTATGTTTGGTTTTTTTTTTTTTTTGTGAACCCATACCTCTCTTTTAGTCACATACATTAGGTCGCTCTGCATCTTTAAAATGTCAAATTTCCTGCTGGGTTTCTCTGCAGAAGGGGTGATTGCTGTGGGACTGAATGCAGATGTCATCCACTGGAAGGAGTGTCGCATGCACAATCGTCATTTGATGTAGAAGAAGCAAATTCCTGCTACTGATCCTGCTTGCAAAGATCTGTGTAGAACTTTGATCCTTGATCCATTTCTGCTGCCTATCTAAAAGTGACTTTGGTCACGTTTGGGTATCATGGTGGGAGTGATTCAGACAGCTGGAATGTGCCAACCCTGCCGTGTCTCCATTGTCTCGACAGGGATCTGGCAGGTGTCTCTCTCCATGGAACCCAGAAGTGATGTAGTACACATTGATCCCAAGTTCATTTATCGCAGGAAGGACTGGCTGGTCTGGTTGACTAGTCAAAATCTCCTAAAAAAGATTACACCATTGCTGCATTGGATCCCTTGGTTATAGAATTCACAAATGGTTGTAGTTTAAAATTTCAGTCGTAACAGTCTGGTGGACACTTCCCTGCTTATCTCTCAAATATCTCCTGCCTGTATACAGGCATAGGACATCTTGGTTGCTGTACTGCGGAACCACTGTCTAAGAACTGTATGATCTGCATGGCCTTGATACTATGATCAAGGATGCTATGGTAGCAAAAGCACCCATCTTCTTCAGCAGAGGAAGCCTAAGGAACATAATGCAAAGTCTTCTTCCACTTTATCTGTTAAGAAATATTCTTTTGATTTATTTACCTCTGTGCCCTCTACATTGAGACCCGTAAAGCTTGGCTCTCAATCCAATCACAAACTCTGGGGCTCAAAAGCTGTGAAATCCTCAAGCAACCTCTCCTCGGCATGGAGTTGCGCCCCCACTTTCCAGAGTAAAGCGGGCATTTGTTAACCTTTTAGAATGCTTAGACAGTTTGCATCTTAGATGCTTGAGTGCAGGATGTAGTATCCCAGGAATACATGTTAGGGTTTTGCTCCATGCCCCCTCCTGGTGTTTTTGACCTCCAACATTATTGTGTCATTGCAAAGATTGGAAATCTCTATCGACTATTGTCCTCTCGGGTCTTCTAGACCAAGGTTTTATTGGACCAGTTCCTGTGGAAGATTGGTTTCAGGGGTTTTACTCTAACCTGTTTACCATTCTCACACCAAAGGGCACATCCACCCCATCATACTGGATCCCAAAAGCTTTGAATGTCCTCTTTGGATCCCAGAAATTGCATATGGAATCCACCAGATCTGTCAAAGCCTTCTTCCACCAGGGAGACTTTCTGGCTTTGGTGGACATCGAGGACTTGTACCTACATGTCTTCATCTTTCTAGTTTATCAGCACTGCCTTTGTTTTGCTGTGGGGCTTCTACATTATCCATTTGGGGCCCTGGCCTTTAGCCTTTCATCTACACCTCAGGTGTTCACCAAGGTGCTGGATCCAGTATTAGCTCTATTGCACTCTCCTGACAATGTGACTGGTTAGACGACCTATTGTTGAAGGAACAGTCAGCTTAGGCTCTGTAAGACAACATGGATTTGACTGTCCATACACTACAGTGGGTTTTATAGAGCCTGAAACTTCAGATATGATTGCTGGAACTGACTTACCATTTGGAGTATCTGGGTCCAATACTGGAACAGAAGAAGCTTCAAACCCACTGATATCAGAATCATCGAATTCTTTTGCTTGAGAGTCTTGGATCTGATAGTAACCTAATTCAAGGCAGTACAATTTGCCCAGTTTCACTCCAGACCTCTACAATGCACAGTCTGTCATTGTGGGACATGTCATTCAAGTCCCTGGACAAACCAATTTGTTTGGTACAGAGGTCCAGATCGTCCCTGTCCAGGTGGCTGAGGAATCTGGCTTGTGAATCAAGATGTGGACCATCCTATTTTATAATCAATGGCTTTAACAACATGGCTGCTGAATCCCAGGTTCAGAAAGACACAGGCATCTCTGATCTTGTGATTCCTATGATGCTAAAAAGGCTACTTCACACAAGGTCTGTAACCAGACATGGAAGGCATACTCTGCTTGGTGTAAGTCTCAGAGCTTCCACCTTAGGAATCTCTCCATGGGATGAATCCCCTTCTTCTTACAGCTGGGTCCAGACCAGCATTTGGCCCTAAGCACTATTAAAGATTAGATAGTGTCGCTGGAGCCAACCCATCTTTTGTAGTATTCAGGTCTAGCCCTGGATTCAGCTCAGACCTGAGTGTTTCCTACACAGGATAAACTTCTGACTCTCCAATCTTAGATTCAAGTTCTCCAGTCAAGGAGTTGCCCCCACTCTTTTCTTTTGTATGATAGTCCTAGGTCTGATGGTAGCCTCTTTGAGGCAGTTCCATGTGTCCAGTTTCACTCCAAACCTCTACAGCACCACATTCTGTCATTGTGGGACAAGTCATTGGACAGACTGGTTTGCTTGGCACTGAAGACTAAGGTGTCCCTTGCTGGTGGCTCAGGAATCTGGCCCTGGAATCAGGTAAGTTCTTCCTTCCCGACTTTTGTAAGATCCTTCTGACAAAATCCCTGTTAGCCAGGGAAGAAGGCCTGGGTACCCTGTAGGTGCAGGGTTGGATTATTGTGCTGAAAGGTGATTCTGTTTGGATTTAGTCAGGCATACATCAACCATCAAGAGAAGGAGACTGGATTCTGTCCTAGACAGAACTTCACAATTCAGTCTTGTCCGCCATGTACATTCCTGGGGTAGACAATTAGCAGGCACACGTCTTCATGTAGCAGCTCCTGGACCTGTGGGAGTGATTGCTACACCCAGAAGTGCTGAAGAACATGTGTAGCAGGTGGGGAAATACTGGATGTGGACCTCCTGGCTTCGAGGTTCAACAACAAACTAGATACAGTATGTTTGTCTTTAGGTACAGGGGTCCTTTAGTGGATGCTGTGGTAGTCTGTGGTATCAGTGGGGGAAATTTAATAAAAGTGGAGCACTCAGAATCTGGTGCAGCTGGGCATGGTAGCCAATCAGCTTTCAACTTCAGCTTGTTCAGTTAAGCTTTGACAATAAAACCTGGAAGCCGACTGGTTTCTATGCAGAGCTGTATCAGATTTTGTACCCTCCAGTCTTAGTAAATTCTCCCCAGCATGTCTTCATCTATGCCTTTTGTTTACAGTTATTGACTTGGCTGTTGAAGCCTAGATTTTGAAAGACGGACATATCCCAATCTGTGCTTCCTATGATGCTAAAAGGTAGAAATGCTACTTCCTGCAAGGCCTTCACACACTTGGTGTGTGAGTCTCAGGGCTTCCACCCCTTAGAGTTTCTTCATGGGATGTACCCTCTTCTTCCAACAGCTGAGCCTGGACCAGCATTTGACTCTAAGCACTATCTAGGGCCAGATTTCTGCATTTCTATTCCATTTTAGACACTATTGGCCTCTCACTCCTTCAATAGGACCTTTGTACATGGAGTCTCCAATGTAGGCCCCCTTGTTCATTACCCTATAGCTCTATGAAATCCAATTCCGGTTCTCTCTGTATTCCCTCTGATCTATCTTGTACAGTATTGAATTGTAACTGTACTGCCTCCCTTTTTTTGGAAAGAGCTTTGTTTACTCACAATGTGGTTTTCTTTGTCATCATCACCTTTGAAGGCAAGTTTCTGTATGGGTGGCTTTTTCCATCAAGGAACCCTTTATGGATTGCATAGGGACAAGGTGGTGTTTAGGCCCACAACTTCCTTCTTGCCTAAGGTAGTTTTATCCTTTTACCTCAACCAGGACATCACTCTTCTGTCCCTCTGTCTGGCTCCAGTTCACCAAGGTTGTTTGCAAGGCAGCCACCTTGTCTTCTGATCACACGTTCTCCAAGTCCTACCGGGTGAACATTACCACCTAATGTGATGCCAGTTTTAGGCATAAGGTCCTTTAGGCAGCTTTTCGAGCAGTTTTATGTTGTTTTCTTAGGCTTGTAAATGATTGTTTGCTGTGTTGTCCACCTCTCAGTTGAACTGGTTTTGGGCATTTCTGAAAGTTAACAACGTGTTGTGTTCCTCAGTGGATGAGAAAGAGAAAATAGTACTTTTGTACTTATCGTAAAATCGTTTTATGCAGTCCATTGAGGAACACAGGTCCAACCCCTTTGTGTTTATCATCATGCTCTTGGTAAAACGTTGTTACAAAACTGAGGCATGCCGGTAGTAGGAGGGCTCCTGGGCTGGCCTACAGCTCCTTTTTTGCAAGTGTCCAGTCTTCCTGTAGGTAGCAGTATAATCCAAGGACTTTCTATGTCTGGGCGCCAAGAAAAAAAAAAATGGTGAGTACAAATACCCCTTTTTTTCCTCCATAGGAACCCATTTTCAGATAACATTCTTTGTTAGTGTAGGTGACAGATGAAAGGCAAACATTTGATGAGCGATGCATTTCCTACAATGAGGATGTGTGACGTACCTGATGGGAGACTGAATTGACAAGGCCGGCCTCACTTGGGTCACTAGCCCTGACCCCAGTGATGTTGGAACAGAGGGAGTCTAGGCACCAGGGGGACAAGAGCGCCACTGGGTGTTGTTTGCAGCTCTTGCAGATGATGATCCTTGGAATGTGGATGATCCTCTGATTTGGATACCGTAGTAATAGGCAGAGCAGGTTTTTTTTGTGGATTGCCAGGCGTGCAGCAGAGCAAGGTAGATAGTGAGGACCGGAGACTGGAGCAGAGTCATGGGATAGCCAGGGTCATCAACAGTTGGGCAGCACGGTACAGAATCAGAAGGAAAAGCCAAGGTCAGGAGCAGAGCCGAAGTCAGGAACCAGTATCAGGGGAGTAATCGAAGTCGGGGTCAGGAACAAGCCGGGTTGGTAACAGAGGAATCGTACAGGAACAAGCAGGACACGGGGGGAGCTGAAGACCAGTCAGCACTGAACCTGAGCAGAGGCACTCCCTAAATGGGCCGTCTGGCGCCAATCTTCGCCGCCCGCAGTCACGCACATTCCTGCGCGCATGCGCACAACCGGCAATTCTTCTGCAGGAATTCCTATGTGCATGCGCATTCCCGATCATGATTCTTCTTGCCGGAAATCCCTTACAGGATGTCTGGGTTCTGGATCAAACGTAAACTCTCTTCCTGATAAGTCTAAGACAAAACTTGTAATATACTAACATCTCTTGTTCCTCAATCAGAAATTATGTGAAATGTTTAATTTCAGCAAATTTACCTAATTATTGCCCTTCTTATGATCTTCCAGGGGATTGCTGGCACAGATGTTGCTAAAGAAGCCTCCGACATCATTCTTACTGACGACAACTTCAGCAGCATAGTAAAGGCTGTAATGTGGGGTCGAAATGTGTATGACAGCATCTCCAAATTCCTGCAGTTCCAGCTGACTGTCAACGTGGTGGCTGTGATCGTGGCATTTACCGGGGCCTGCATCACCCAGGTGAGGAGGACAAGATGCTTCTCATCACTTCTAGGAAACGTCTCTCAGTCTGCTGTCCAGTGACAATATTTGAGATGCCTGGGTGGCATCAGAGGGTTACAATAAAGCGTTTATGAAAACGAACTACATTTAAAGGAGAAACAAAAGCAGGCAGGAAAAAAAATAGTTTTTTTCTGGAGTCCCTATGTCAGGAGCTTTCTGCTGGGATATTTTTTTTAAGGTGTATAGAAGATCATAACTGCAAGGGAATTTGAGAGCGGAGATGACACGACAGCGATTAATACAACATCCATTAGAACACAGGTGTCAAACTGGCGGCCCTTCAGCTCTTGCCGAATTACAAGTCCCACGAGGAATTGCAAGATTCACAGTTACAAGCATGATTCCCAAAGGCAGAGGCATGATGGGACTTGTAGTTTCGCAACAGCTGGAGGGCCGCCAGTTTGATACCCCTGCATTAGAACTACTAAGGATTGCAACACTGCAACATACTCCAAGTGACCATCAGATAACCGGCTATGAACAGATGCCAACACTGCAGTTTTGTCATAGACTTGGCGTTTGTAACCCAGAGAACAAAACAGTAAAATAAGCAACAAACCAATGGTAAATGAATCCAGAAAAGCGTAAGTGATTGTGTGATCGAACAAGACAGCCAACGCTTTTGGGGGGCACAAACATTCCCCCTCACTGGTGCTGTATATGTAGCCAATGTATAGCAATCTGGGGCGCTCAGTCAGCACTCATGGCACGGCCCCAATTACACATTGGTGCTTTTTGATCACTTAATGTATGATTACAATATCTTTGACTCATTTACCATTGTTTGCCGCTTTCTCTTTATTTTGTTCTTTGGATTCTTGTTCTTAATAACCGAACCAGGGTCACTCTGCTCTTTAATAACAGCCTCACAGGGATCAGATGGATGTTCTAAAACAGGGGTCTCCAAACTTTCTAAACAAAGGGCCAGTTTACTGTCCTTCAGACTTTATTGGAGCCAGGCCATGGCCACTGGGGGTAGAAAATGTCCTGGTGTCAGTGGGAGTAAACATTGTCCCATCTTTGGTATTAGGGGAAATATTAGTGCTTCATTTTTATTGTCAGTGCGAGGAATAGTGCTCCATTAATGATATCAGTGGGAGGAATAGTGCCTCATCATTGGTGTCAGGGGAGGAATAGTGCCTCATCATTGGGGTCAGGGGGAGGAATAGTGCCTCATCATTGGTGTCAGTGGGAGGAATAGTGTCCCATCATTGGTGTCAGTGGGAGGAATAGTGCCTCATCATTGGTGTCAGTGGGAGGAATAGTGCCCCATCATTGGTATCAGTGGGAGGAATAGTGCCTCATCATTGGTATCAGTGGGAGGAATAGTGCCTCATCATTGGTATCAGTGGGAGGAATAGTGCCTCATCATTGGTGTCAGGGGGAGGAATAGTGCCTCATCATTGGTATCAGTGGGAGGAATAGTGCCTCATCATTGGTGTCAGGGGGAGGAATAGTGCCCATCATTGGTATCAGTGGGAGGAATAGTGCCCCATCATTGGTATCAGTGGGAGGAATAGTGCCCCATCATTGGTGTCAGTGGGAGGAATAGTGCTCCATCATTGGTGTCAGTGGGAGGAATAGTGCCCGATCATTGGTGTCAGTGGGAGGAATAGTGCCCCATCATTGGTGTCAGGGGGAGGAATAGTGTCCCATCAATGGTATCAGTGGGAGGAATAGTGCCCCATCATTGGTATCAGTGGGAGGAATAGTGTCCCATCATTGGTGTCAGTGGGAGGAATAGTGCTCCATCATTGGTGTCAGTGGGAGGAATAGTGCCCGATCATTGGTGTCAGGGGGAGGAATAGTGTCCCATCATTGGTATCAGTGGGAGGAATAGTGTCCCATCATTGGTGTCAGTGGGAGGAATAGTGCCCCATCATTGGTATCAGTGGGAGGAATAGTGCCCCATCATTGGTATCAGTAGGAGGAATAGTGCCCATCATTGGTGTCAGTGGGAGGAATAGTGCCCCATCATTGGTATCAGTGGAAGGAGGAATAGTGCCCCATCATTGGTATCAGTGGGAGGAATAGTGCCCAATCATTAGTATCAGTGGGAAGAATAGTGCCCCATCATTGGTATCTGCGGGAGGAAATAGTGCCCCATCATTGGTATCAGTGGAAGGAACAGTGCCCCATAATTGGTGTCTGTGGTAGGAATAGTGCCCTAGTGTTGGTGTCAGTGGGAGGAATAGGGCTGAAAAAGGTATGCAAAGGGCAGCAGTTTGGAGACCACTGTTCTAAAACATCAAATAATCGATTATCTTTGCTCCAGGTACCTATTGGATATTTGTTTGTGATAGGGTTAGACACATCATATGTACAGACATTACTGTTGACCTTTACAAATAGGAACATGCATCATGTCAGAGGTGCAGGAATGCAGTGTGTTACAGTTTATAGTAAGTTATAGTAAGACCCCCCCCCCCCCCAAGACCCCCCCCAAAAAACTAAGAAAACAAAAGAAAAAAAAACAAAAAACAGACAGACTCGATGGACCACTTGGTCTTTTTCTGCCTTCACTTTTCTATAGATTATTCCGCCCTTTGTTTAGGATGCTGATGGGTATTAAAGCTTCTTCTTAGTTTTATCTGTTAAATGTTTTAATGGGTATGTAATGGGTATGTAATGTGTGAGAAGTTTGATTTAGCCCAAGATAAAATAAAAGAACCATTTTGAGTCGATCCAATCAGGGGCGGACTGACAACTCATGGGGCCCCCGGGCAATAGATAATCATGGGTCCCCTGTGTCCTTGCCCAAACTCAAAAAATCCTATGAAAAATGTACCAGGGGCATCTCATGGGGCCCCCTACTAACCCCCGGGGCCTCGGGCAGTCCCCGAGTTTCCAAATGGTCAGTCCGCCCCTGGATCCAATTATTTCTGAAACATTGATCTCCCTCCTGTCACATTATGGTAAGCGCTATACCAAGACAACGTCTTGCTGTTGGCTGCTGGTCTTCTGTACTGCTACTCTTGCTAGTGCGCCCATGCTGACGCGCATTGCATGGGCATTTTCTTATTTTATCCTTTTTTTTTGAGGAATCCCACCCTAAGAAATGCAATGTAGCCTTTCCTGAAGCACATGCAAAGTAGACAGGAAGATAGGCTGCTGGAGATACATGGTGCTTAGCAAACCAAATGACACCCAGTTAGGGTTTACATGTACTAAATGTCCTCATTAAATGCAGTTTGATCAGATGTTACACTCAGTATTATCATTTCTGAGGGAATCATCGAAGAGTTAATGTGGTTCTGTCCACAAGTAAGGACCTTTATGGTAAACACCATTTAACAGAACCGACCCAGTCTGCGTTTTGGTACTTCCGTTAGAATACCGCTTCCCCGTCCGAACACCGACAACAGACACCACAGCTGACCATACGAGACTAGACAGCACCAGTCTTGAAGTAAGCCAGGAAGTAGACTACTTTATTTTAACACAGATACAAGATATATACACTCAAGGGGACAATCCCCCCTCCTTCATAATGACACAGGGCGGGGCAATCTACCTTTAGTAACTAGAAAAGCTACAATTTCTGGGGAAATTGTGTGAAGTGTTCTTGCCTGCTCACACACCTGGGTTCCTATGGCAACTCACTCTACAGCAAGGGAAGAGAAGAGTGGTTAAAAACAAACTGCTCCAACTTGCTCACTTCACTAATAGTTGCCATCTTCAAACGGTTGTAGTTTAAAAATTATAAATCCTACACCGAAGAGCTTTATATTGTGAGAATCACAAGACCCAGACCTACATTTTGATAGTATGTCTCTGAAATATTAAAAATGAAGGCACAGTCGCAGTTTATAAATTGCCCTTCAAATTTGAGGTGGCAAGAGTGGAGTTTCAATTAATGTCAATGGGCGGCGTGAGTTGCAAACAAATGGTCATATTGTGAAAACTATCAGGACTATGGCAGCAGGGATAGCTGAACGATTTGATATAAGATATGTGTAGGTGGGCTTAAAAATGATGGAGTGATGGCAGTTTACATATCATGTCCTGATTTTTCAGCTCACACTCTAGCTTTTGTCAGCTCCCACTCTAGTTTTGAACATTCCGCCATTCAATTCCTATGGGACCAATTTCACCACAAAAACGCCGATATTTTGTGAACCGTTCGGCGAAATGTTCCACAAAGTAATAGCACACCAATCGGGAACAATCCGCACGTTTCCGTATATTACTGTCTATGTAGTGTAAGAACTGTGGGAGAAGTTAGGGTAGTAAATTTGGCTATAATAATAAGAATATATATGTGAGATAAAAGGAAGTGGTCTGCCATGCAAGAACACTTAACAAGAGACACACCATCAGACAGTCCCATCAGGGGGGAGGGCTGCTGGAGACACCCCCCCTCACCAAGCCAATACACATAAACACATACATCCCATAATAGTTTGCTCCCAAGCAAGACACACAATAGAACAATGGGATGCAACCACATGGCATTACACAATCAACAACCCCCCACCCTAATATTAGGACACATCATCCTGTACCCCTAACAGGCACAGGGTGACTTACACATAATAGGGATATGGGGAGCTGAGACAGGGGTCTCCCCACCTCTCCAAAGTGAGCTGTGTTCCATGGGCCCCCCACCCAAAGTGACTCCCGTCACACACCATATTCTCACATACCATTCAGACCTATTTGTACACAATGCCACCACAGTAAAGAAAAGTCAGTCATGTCACAAGAGATAATGTTGGTAGTCGAACTGATAATATTTTGCATTTTATTTCTCATTCCAGGATTCTCCACTGAAGGCTGTGCAGATGTTGTGGGTAAACCTAATTATGGACACGTTTGCTTCTCTTGCATTGGCAACTGAACCACCAACAGAGTCACTCTTGCTACGTAAACCCTATGGAAGGAATAAGCCCCTCATATCAAGTACAATGATGAAAAATATTTTGGGGCACGCTGTGTACCAGCTGACTCTGATATTCACATTACTCTTTGCTGGTAAGATAGCTTACATAGCAGATGGTGTCCCTGTTTCTGTTCTAACATTAAGCACTAACACACGTTGTGTTTGTAGGAGAACAACTCTTTAATATCGATAGTGGAAGGAATGCCCCTCTGCACTCTCCTCCATCTGAACATTACACCATCATCTTCAACACTCGTTTGTCATGATGCAACTCTTCAATGAAATCAACGCACGAAAGATCCACGGAGAGCGCAATGTGTTTGACGGCATATTCAGAAATCCTATTTTCTGCACAATTGTGATCGGCACCTTTGCAATCCAGGTAACACTGATACCGATGCCTTTACTATGCATCTAATGATGATTTAATGTCACACTTTACTCTTCTCTCTGCTCTCCACTACTTGGGAAGAGAATTGAATGAAATCTTATACCATCATTTGTATGTGGGAGCATGACTTGTGCTGTTAGGCTCCATGTACAAGGTACTCAGATGGACAAAACACTGAACACAGGATGTTCCTACCAAGCTTGTCATACCTTGTAATGACCAATTTACACCTCAGACCTCTCCCACCCTTGGAAACAAAAGATATGTTAATGACCATTCACACCCTAAATTTCTCATGAAGACCCCCTGCCAGGTGGCCTTAATTACTCCCTCCACCAGACACCTTTTCCACCTTGGAAACAAAAGATATGTTAATAACCATTCACACCTCAGACCTCTCCCACCCTTGGAAACAAAAGATATGTTAACGACCATTCACACCTTAGACCTCTCCCACCCTTGGAAACAAAAGATATGTTAACGACCATTCACACCTCAGACCTCTCCCACCCTTGGAAACAAAAGATATGTTAACGACCATTCACACCTCAGACCTCTCCCACCCTTGGAAACAAAAGATATGTTAACGACCATTGACACCTCAAATTCCTCATGAACACCCCCTGCCAGGTGGCCTTAATGACTCCCTCTACCAGACACCTTTCCCACCCTTGGAAACAAAAGAAATGTTAAGGACCATTCACACCTCAGACCTCTCCCACCCTTGGAAACAAAAGATATGTTAACGACCATTCACACCTTAGACCTCTCCCACCCTTGGAAACAAAAGATATGTTAACGACCATTCACACCTCAGACCTCTCCCACCCTTGGAAACAAAAGATATGTTAACGACCATTCACACCTCAGACCTCTCCCACCCTTGGAAACAAAAGATATGTTAACGACCATTGACACCTCAAATTCCTCATGAACACCCCCTGCCAGGTGGCCTTAATGACTCCCTCTACCAGACACCTTTCCCACCCTTGGAAACAAAAGAAATGTTAAGGACCATTCACACCTCAGACCTCTTCCACCATTGGAAACAAAAGATATGTTAATGACCATTCACACCTCAGACCTCTCCCACCCTTGGAAACAAAAGATATGTTAATGACCATTCACACCTCAGACCTTTCCCACCCTTGGAAACAAAAGATATGTTAACGACCATTCACACCTCAGACCTCTCCCACCCTTGGAAACAAAAGATATGTTAACGACCATTGACACCTCAAATTCCTCATGAACACACCCCTGCCAGGTGGCCTTAATGACTCCCTCTACCAGACACCTTTCCCACCCTTGGAAACAAAAGAAATGTTAAGGACCATTCACACCTCAGACCTCTTCCACCATTGGAAACAAAAGATATGTTAATGACCATTCACACCTCAGACCTCTCCCACCCTTGGAAACAAAAGATATGTTAATGACCATTCACACCTCAGACCTTTCCCACCCTTGGAAACAAAAGATATGTTAACGACCATTCACACCTAAAATTCCTCATGAAGACCCCCTGCCAGGTGACCTTAATGACTCCCTCCACCAGACACCTTTCCCACCCTTGGAAACAAAAGAAATGTTAATGAGCAACTCACACCTAAGCTAATCTCAACACATGCCGCTGTCTCTGCTTCTACTCTCTGTATTTCTCTGAAACAGTCTGAAATTGTTAATAATTTACCACTTTTCAGTGCATTCTGGGCATTTGGGAGGTTCTCCTGTGCTTATCTTTAAAAAAACGTTTCTAAACACAAATGCGCATAATCGCGTTATGCAAACACGGCTAAACAGACGTTTTATTAACCTACGTTTTCCAGCAGTCAGTTTCCATCATTCAGAAGTGTCCCGTGTACATCGGGCCTAAGGCTCCATGTACACTGCAGCTGATAAACTCACATTTAGGAGCTTTTCTGCGTTTTTTTTTTTTTCAGCAGCCCCTGAACTCTCCCTAAAGTTCTCCTATGTGTCCATGTACACATCGTCATTTACAGGCAGTTGAGTTTACAGTCTTTTTTTTGAAGGCACCAAACTTGCGTTCAGGAGTAGATTTTATCAGCGTTTCAAAGGCCAAACGCTTGTAAACGCGACTAACCAAGTTTCTAAGTGTTTGGAAATTTTTTTTAACTCTTCCATTTCCAGATGCAGTCCGGGGCCTTTTTTCATCATGAAAAATGCATGCAAAGCATTTTCCCGGTACTCGGATGGACCCGGCCCACCATACTTTGAGGTTTCACTTGAAAGAAAACATGTTAGACATTGCTGCAATAATTTCTGCACAGAAATGAGCCGGAACATCCAAACACCACAAAAAAAAAAAGACAGCTAATCTCAACAAATACTGCTCTCTCTGCTTCTGCTCTCTCTATTTATCTCACAATGTCTGAAATAGTTAATTTTTTACTGTTTTTCAGTGCGTTCTGGGCATTTTGGAAGGTCTCCTGAGGTTATCTTTAAAAAGACGCTTCTAAACGCAAACGCTCATAAACACGGTGTGCAAACACGGCTAAACAGACATTTTTTAACCTACGTTTTCCAGCAGTCAGTTTCCATCGTTCAGAAGTGTCCCAGTCCATATTTCCTGCTATTTCCCTGCTATAATCCTGCTGAATCTGGGATTTACTTTCACATGCCTTGCTAAAGATTAATCATGGCTGTTAATAAATAGGGAGGCACAGCAGTTGGGTGACAGTCGAAGCTTACTGCATAATATAACAGCCATACTTCTCACAAGTTGTAAGAGGAAAGTGTTGCAGCCTGCAATGGCTACCAGCTTGGTCTAAGAAAATTGTCTCCAGTAAATTGTTCTGATCTAGGCTCTAAAGTTTAATAAGCAATATTTTGGACTGTGGGTTTGTGGATTGTATTTCCTTTGTGCAAGTTATTAAAGAAAAACCTTTACCCTTCCTCACTGCAAAGGTTAATTGCTCATTTTGCCAAGGGCAGTGGTCCCCAAAACTGCGACCCAGGGGGTGGATGTGGTCCCTTGCTTGCTTTTATCCAGTCCTCTGGGCAATATTCCTCACACTGCCAGCAAAAGCGTGACATAGTTCCTGCCACTGACAATGTGGTCCTACTCATATCACTGGCACCAGGTATGAGTCACTATTCCTCCCATTGACACCGATTGTGGGGCAATATTCCTTCCATTGATACCAATGATGGGGTATTATTCCTCCCACTGACACCAATGATGGGGTATTATTCCTCCCACTGATACCAATGATGAAGCACTATTCCTCCTACTGATACTAATGATGGGCACTATTCCTCCCACTGATGTCAATGATGGGACACTATTCCTCCCACTGACACCAATGATGGGGCACTATTCCTCCCACTGACACCAATGATGGAGCACTATTCCTCCCACTGATACCAATGATGGGTCACTATTCCTCTCACTGATACCAATGATGGGACACTATGACTCCCATCGGTACCAATGATGGGACACTATGACTCCCATCGGTACCAATGATGGGACACTATGACTCCCATCGGTACCAATGATGGGACACTTTGACTCCCATCGGTACCAATGATGGGACACTATGACTCCCATCGGTACCAATGATGGGACACTATGACTCCCATCGGTACCAATGATGGGATACTATGACTCCCATCGGTACCAATGATGGGGCATGATTGATCCCACTGACACCAATGATGGGGCACTATTCCTCCCATTGATAGTAATGATGGGGCACGTTTTCTCCCACTGACACCGATGATAGGGCACTATTCCTTCCATTGATACCATCGATAGGGCAATATTCCTCCATTGATAACAATGATGGGGAAATATTCCTCTTGCTGAAAGCAATGATGGGGCACAATCCCTCGCATTGATACTAATGATGGGGCACTTTTTTCCCCACTGACACCGATGATAGGACACTATTCCTTCCATTGATACCATCGAAGGGGCAATATTCCTCCTACTGATACCAATAATGATTTATTTCCACTGACTCCAGGACATTTTCTTCTCTCAGTGGCCACAGTCTGCGCCCCCCAAATTTTGAAGAACAGTAAACATGCCTTTTGTTTAGAAAGTGTGGAGACCCGTGGCCTAGGGTATGGAAAATAAGATGATATACTTAAAGCAGAGTTCCAGCTGAAAAAAAAAAAGTCAGCAGCTACAAAAACTGTAGCTGCTGACTTTTAAAAAACAGTCCCTTGCTTGTCCCTTGGTCCAGCGGTGTTCTCACCATCGCTAGTTTCACCGGCCGTCTTCTCTCCCTGGTGCCAGCATCTTCAGTGTGGGCACCCGGCTGTGACAGCTTGCGGCCTCACAGCTGGGTGCCCACTGCGCATGCGTGAGAAGGGCTGCACTTTGTGAATGGTCCGTAGTCTTCTGGGACCTGTCACATGTCCCAGAAGACTACGGGGAAGGAGGGGGAGGACAACTTCTGCTTCCGATCTCCTAAGCGATTGCAGCGGAAGTAGGAGCAGGTACCTGTCAAATTCGGGTACCCGCTCCCCAAAGGTGCCAATCCTTAATGGAGAGCAGGGGACAAAGGCTTAAAGCGGAACTTCCCCTTTTGGGTGGAGCTCTGCTTTAAGATTATGTATACTATATATGTGAGCTGGCCACACCTGTACCCTAGGTTGTGGGCGGGCTCTTAGCATTCTCATAAAATGCAGGACTGCTGGTCCGGCATTGTTTGGCAGGACATTGATGGATGCAATTGGTCAGGCAGCCAAGGGAAGAGGCTTCAGAGCATTGGCAGCATGAGGAGGAAGAAGGCCACAGGAGCGAGGAATAAGGAAAGTATAGCACCCTATTTATCATCCCCTAGTAAAACAAGCAGTTAACCCTTGCAGGAGGGCCCCCTGAAAGGTTAAAAGTTTTCCTTTCTTGTCTATTGAAGGACACAGAAAATCATGTACTGTTGGGTTATGGTGGATTAGACAGTGGAGAACAAAGAGAGGCCAGGCAAGATAACCCTCCCTATTCCCAGCATGCTTCCGTT